CCCTGGTCTGTGTTCTCCAGCACAACAGTAACGTTATTTCTCTTGACCTCCTAGGCTCTAAAGGTGATGACTGCCGCGGCATTTTATTTTGGAATCTGTGCGGAGCAGGTGAGTGGAGAGCCCGGTGTGCTTTTGAGGAGGGGGATTTGCGGATGAGGTTGGCGTTGGCGGGTGCGATGCTGGTTTCTGGCACTGTTTTGTGCCTTTTTTTTTTTTTTTTTTTTTTTTTTTCTTGCAGAGGAATATCATAGTGATGAATAAAAATTTTGGGTGCATGGCTCTGCTTCTACTCCTCTTTGTAAGAAGGAGGAAGAGAAGTTCAGAATTATTTACTGGCAACCATCTAAAACCTGAGCTCATGGATAACTTGCTGATGACAACTTTAGATTGAACACTGATTATTTCCAGTTTGCACATGCTGAAGTGTGATGATGTAGAGATCATGTATTTAACACAGTAGCATAAGACATGGTGTGTTTTGTTGAATGTCAGGAGTTATTGCTGGTCAGTGTTCTAAGCACAATTTTTACTACCTGGCACAGCTAGACAAAAGTAGTCAGAGGACCCAGCAGCTGGTGAAATTTGTAGGGAAGAAAAGGTGTGACTTAAGAAATGGTTCTTACTAAAGTTGCATTGGCTCTGTCTTGCTATAACTCCTACTATTTGAATAGGAAACTTACAGTTTTATGCTAGTGTATCTATCTAAAGCCGAAATCCAAATTACAGTGAGATTCCTGAGTGATATAAAGACTTGTAATCCAAATTAATTTAACTAAATTGCACCAGGTGATACCAATTGAAGACCACTAATCAAACTGCTGACGTATTTTGGAAACAATGTCCTTGCTTTTTGATGTGTTCTTTTTTTTAAATTGAAGTTAATGGAAAATACAGATAGAACTTTTATGAATATGAAGGACTATCTCCTTAACAAAATTCCATAATCTTCTCTGAGTGGAAACTCTGATGTAAAATAATGCTTCTTCTAAATTGCTAGCATTTACATAAAAATTACTTCAATTATCAGTCTAATCCTTAAGTTCCAAGAGGAGTCACTTTAAAGCTAATTCTCCAGATATTCTCCAGAACTTACTCTTCTTTGTTGAGACTTCAGTCTTTGCTCAAATGCCCTTTAGTACTACAACTTCACCCACTATCTCTGCTGTTCAGTGTGTTCACAGGTCTATCGGGATCATCTTCGTCTTGGCACTTGCAACAAGATTCTATACTTTATGTTCATGTCTGAATTTATATTGTGGCTATTCCAATTTTCTCATATTTGCCACAGTGTCTTGTCTGAGCAGATCCCTTTGCCTGCTTTAATCTTTGACCCTTCTTTCATGCTGCCCTTCTGCCTGGAATAATCTCACTTAAACATCCAATAGACAGCCTGCAGTTCCTCTTTTAAGATATTCCTTGAAAAATGTCCTCTTCAGAGTACTATTCCATCTTTACTCAAATACCACAATAATATAAAGGCATGCCTTCAGTCTCCTTCCTGAGGCAATCTGGAAAAGTTCTGTCTTTGCTTCATCCAATTTTTGTTTGAAATATGCTTCTTTGCCTACAAATTCTACTCTGCTCCTTAAAGAAGAGAGATGAAAGAAAACATTGGAAAGCCAGACAATAAACCATCAAAGCAGAAATGTGGAATTAGGAAGATGAGCCCTTGGTGTCCTAACTGGGATTCTTTTCCATCTGATGTATTCAAAATTGGCACTAGTGTAATTTTGTCACTGGCTCACTGTGTGACCATGAAACCATTGCTTTATCTTGAATTTCTTAGGTCCTTTTCTTGTGAAGATGAAGGTTTCTAAAATGCTATGAAAAATGAGAAAGAAGAGCCTCTGATTTCAGTGTCATTCATGTCTGCATTATCATATTTATGACTGGTTTCCTTTGTGAAAGGAGCATAATCTTACTCTTCCCGAAGTTCTTGCCTTTCTGATACTTATTCTGCTTGCTGCTTCCCTTCATTGCTCCTGTGAAGTGAATGCCTTATGTTATGACATTGTAACATGTTGTACTTTTTAGCATGCCGTATTTTGAGTCAAAATGATACTGCAAAGTTGTAATGCTGCATCAGCCCAGAAAAGTATACCAGGATGTTCTGGTGCCCTTCCAGCCTAGTTTGCTGTCTCAAACACCCACCCAGCAGGGGACCCCTGTGGGGAGAAAGAGTCTTCCTTTTAGTCTTGAGAGAGCCTGGGTTTTAGATACTGTCTGAAAGGAGCTGATTTCAGTTGCTGATGAAAACATTAACTGGGCTGCTTTGGGCAGAACACTCTCGTTTTCCTCCTTAATGCTGCTAGAAAATTTGAAGCTTGAGGTGAGGGAATAAAGGAAGTTTGATATTTTCAATTGAAAAGGTGGAGATTAGGAGCATTCCTTCCAGAGCCCCCTCGCCTGGTTTGTGTTAAACACCATCAGTGCAGACCATAATCTGCAGGGAGAAATCTGATCAATTTGGAATTATAGTAGAGGAGCTAACAAGGAACAAATTAAAATCCTATATTCCCACTTGATTTGCTTCTTCCCCCCAGGGCTCGTCCAAAGCCTTTTGAGGTTTGCAGATTGAATGAAACCCTACTGGATGTCAGTGATGAGGAATAATGGGATTAAATGAGAAAAGTTGTGCTTAAATAGTAGGAAAAACCTTTACAACCATAAGATCAATTGGGCCACAGAGCTGGCTGCCAAGAGGTGTGGTGAAATCTTTTTCACAGGAAATGTTGAAGTGAAGACTTGAACCACAGCCATTTGCAAAGGGTTAGAGATATTGGAGTTTGGCCACAGTGTGTGGGTGTAGACTCTGATCTTTAGGAATTGCATGAACTTGTAGAGTTTCCTTCTAGAGCTGAACAATCACATGAAGATGTGTTGCTCTTCAATTACACATGAAGATGTGTTGCTCTTCAATTAACTTAGTGCAACCCAGAGTTTCTGTTCCTCTTGACCTGAATTTGGTTTGGCCCCCACTGCATTCTGCTTCTGGTCCAGCCTTCTGAAATGAGGGATAGAAAACTTTTGTTAACATCCTTCAACCTCTCTGGATGCTGTATCTGATATGCTATTGCATAGAGTCTAGTGTGTTCATAAAAGTCTGTGAGAATATATGATAGGAATGAGGCCTCTGAAGAAAACCAGCAAAGCCATCCTGGATTTTGATGCTTCTTTAGTAATGGCTACTTAAATTATTCCAAGAAGATACATGGGCTTTGGATTTCAGTGTCAAATCTGACAGCAACAGAACTAAATTCTCTCATTTCTTTCACTTCTGCCTATTTGTCAAGTTGAAGAGTCAGGTTTGTTGGTGAATTTAAAGACCTCTTAAATAGTCTCCTATTGTCACTGTGAAAGATAGGATGCTGGACTGGACTGACCCTCAGCCTGACTTAGTAGGGCATTTAATGTATTTTCATGTAAGACTCATTCCCATTTCTAACAAAATGGGGGAAGGGCTGGTATTTGGCCATAATATAGCTACAGGGAAGTCATGGATGTGATGGAAGTTCAAATGCCAGGAGTAGGGACAAGTGCCAGCTGGGCTATTTAGAAGATGCAAGAAAAAGTAGTTTATGAAATCAAGCTTGCTTGATAGTGAACGTGCTATGCTCAGATACAAGAACAGCTGTCAGTCACAGTGTATGATAGATCAAAAGATTTTTACACAAAAATAAGCAAAGTGTTTATGTGAAGCCAGGAGGGTAATCTTTACCCTGGGGAATGCACAGGAGGATATTCCTCCTGTTTCTTGAGGCGTATCTCCATGGTGACGTCTGTTTTCTACAGGAAACAAGATAGACCTATGAAACTGATGACTAGCAAGGGAAAGATTTTGCTATGAATGAACACTTTCAGTAGCCATGGGCAGAATACTGACTAAATAAAGGAAAATGAGCTTCCTTACTCAGCATCATAGCTTCAAAGTTTTATTTAGATGGATCTGACGAGCTGAACATTAGAAAGTTATTTTTGTCTCTGTTCTCCATTTATGGCCAAAACTTCTTGGGAAGAGTAAAAAGAATTCTGTCTTTTCTAGTGCATCAGCAAACCAAATATATGAGTGTAAGGCATTTATGCTGGAGTGAGACACATACAATTGAACTGGCAGGTCTCAATAGAAATTTGTTACTCTTCCAGTAAGGAAAATCATCCTTGAAATTATGAACTGATCAGAGAACATCCTGAAGAGGAGATTCACAGGCATCAGCACAAAGCTAAAAGTAGAGTTGCTTTCATGGCTAATCAGTTTCTACACATAACCTCTTCAATAAATATTCAAGTGAAATGGATCATAAATAGGCTGTATAAGGCACAGGCTACCAACATTCTTTGGTCTAGTCTTTTTTCGCCTTTGCCTCCTATGTTTAGAAGAATATAGTGAAATATCTATACGGATGTAAAGATTAGATCAAAAGCATTTCTGAGCTAAATACCCCTGAATGCTAAATATCCCTGCTATTTGGTTAACAGGGAGACATACAGTCTCTGGGAAGACCTTATAGCAGCCTTTCAATATATAAAGGGAACTTATAAGAAAGATGGAAAAAGAGATTTATTTTTTTACCAGGGCCTGTAGTGACAGGACAAGGGGTAATGAATGGTTTTAAACTAAAAGATGCTAGATTTAAATTGGATAAAAGGAAGAGATTTTTATATGATAAGGATGGTGACTTATTGAAACAGGTTGCCCAGGGAAGTTGTAGATGCCCCATCACTGGAAGTGCTCAAGGCCAGGCTGGATGGGGCTTTGAGCAACCTGGTCTGGTTGAAGATGTCCCTGCCCATGGCAGGAGGGTTGAACTAGTTGATCTTTAAAGTTCACTTCCAACCCAAACCATTCTGATTCTGTAACAAAGAAACTGGAGCTTAGCTCCACTTCCAGCAGAGCTGTGCAACTCACCTTTGCTCTTTGGAGCTGTACGCACAGGAGATATTCCTGTTATTTGCGAATCTCTAAAAGGATCTAACAAGAAGCTGGTAATTGTCTGCTTTGTGTGAAACGTTTGTAAGTGAAGGAACAAGGAGGAATCCTCCAAGATCCACATATAGATTTTATTCCTCAAAAGACAGCTTCTCTTTAGGATTCTCTCTCCCTGTATACATAAGTGCAATCTATCCTGCTGCGGGCCAAAGAAATAATGAAAATTACCTGAGTGATGTAAGTAGAAAGAATGTGTGAGTGTGATTCTGTTTTTCTGCGTGTATAAACTCCCTGTCATATTCACCACACAGAGTTAACTGACTGTGACGGACATCGTTCTGCTACTTGCTTAGATCGTATTGGCAGGAACTATAAAGGGCATCTGCTTTTTCTCAAATAATGGCATTTTGAAAATCTTTCTTTTTTCATTAGGATCAGGTGGGCATTTTATTGCTATCACTATTTTTCATCTGTTTATTGTGGCATGCCCAAAACTGCTGACAACCCTGTCTGAAAAAAATTATTTCTCTAAACAAATATGTAGCAACTCAAAAGAAGACTGCGTGCATATCCCATGAACAGTATGCAAAATGGTTAAAAAAAAATAGATTATGTCCTCTAACCTAGTTTGCTCTTCTATTTCAGACACTGTTGAACGAGCTGGACCGAAGCATGGGGCGATACCGAGATGAAGTAAATCTCAAAACAGCCATCATGTCCTTTATCAATGCTGTTCTGAATGCTGGTGCTGGTGAGGTGAGTCACTGCCCTGAAAATTCCTTCTAAAACGTTATGCTTGAATTAATTTAGCTTGGAAATGGCTAGTAGATAAGTCATAAATCTTGTGTTATTGAGTGGATATACTCTGTGGAAAATAATGCTTAATTGTTAATATCACTCTCATAATGTCTTCCATATTATTTCATTCCCAGCCTTTTTAATATAACATAGACTACTTGCACTGAAATGATTGTTTTGGGTTTTAGTGTGGTGGGTTTTGGTTGTGTTTTTTGTTTTTTTTTTTAAAAAAAAAAGAACTGCAAAGCATTTACCTCTTAATTTCAGCCTTATAGAAAACATTTTGGTTTACCTCCAGAAATGTTTTGAAATGTTCAGTTGTTTTGACTCAAAGCCAAACTCAAAATGTTTTAATTTAAAAATGTCAAAGGCAGATATTTCAGAACATACAGTTTGTTGTTTTTCTTTAATTAACAAGACTTTTTTTGAAGCTGTAGGATAGTTGAAACTGATTTTGTTTCATTAAAAGTGTTACTTTGTTACATTGGCTTATCTTTTTTTGGTTGAACCACAACAGAAAATAAGTTCATAAGAGCTTTGTCTGGCAGTGTCTGTCTCTATCTCCAGCAGTCCTCTAACATCCCACTGAACAGGTGCCAAAGTTGCTAGCGTATACGGTGATCTTATGACAAATAAACATAAAAATTAGTAAGAAGGCTGTAGTGCTTTCATCTGTAAGCAGTAGCTGGACCTCTAATAGACTAGCAGGATGAACATGAATAACTTTTGTTCTTCATGGAACAAAAAAGAGTGTGCTGTCCTGTTGACTGGATGTGCAGAACACCTTGTAGGGAAATGAGGACTGTATTTTTAATTGAAACAGAGGCAAAGACATTATTTTTTTTTTAACTTACTTTACTGGAATTAATCAAACTGTTGTTTGATCAAAATTTGATGTTTGGATAGATGATACTAAAAAGGGAAGAACTGAGGTTTTAAATAATCTATTTTTAAAAAAATGTGATTAAAAGCTTTTGGAACCTAGTAACCTGATTTTCCACTACTTTTTAAGGACAATTTGGAGTTCCGATTACACCTACGATATGAGTTTCTAATGCTAGGAATTCAACCTGTCATTGACAAGCTAAGAGGACATGAGAATGCCACACTGGACAGGTAAGACATGTTTTATGAGAATAGTTATTGATCAGCAGAAAGAGTTCTTAGAAACTCTTCTTAGAAACTCTTCTCCATTTGGGTTTCAGATTTAAGCACAAAGCTGTCTCTGTCTCTTCCTAAAACTCACTTCCTTTAAAGACGTAAAGGAGATTTGTCCTTAGAATTAAAATCAACAGATGAAGTAGGAAGTATACATATTAAATTGGCAGTGGCTGTGGCAAGGTGTTCCTGAATTGCATTTCTTCTAAGTTGGGGATGGCAATCAAAATTAAAAAAAAAAAAAAAATCAAAACAGAAAAAAAGTTCTAATTCTTTTCTCTTGTAGCAAAACTGGAACAAAAGGCTCTCCTGTAGGAGGGAGGGAAGCCAGTTCATTGACTTCATTGAGACTGGGTATGTGCGGTCAAAGTGCAGGTTTCCAGGGTTTTCCTTTAAGCTCAGTCTTTTTTGTGATCTAGTTTGTACCACACCCTCCCAAACAGTGGCACTGGCACAACTGTGAGAGAAGAGGCATCTCTCTGGTGGTCAAAGGGATAGAGGCGGCAAGGAGGCAAGAGAGGAGAATGAGAAGCATCTTCAAACAGCTCTGCCACTGCACAAAATGTAACACTGAATGGCAGCTTCAAATAACTGTGTTAAACGTTATACAGATAACTGTGTTAAAAGTTATACAGCAGGAGCAATTCTGTATTTTGCACAGTAATTGAAGCTGCTAATGACCTTCAATTAAACCCTTCACAAAGCCACATGCTGAAATTAACTTAGAGTAAACGATCTGAACAATTTGACTGAGACACTTCAAGAAACTAAAAGACTGATGAACCAATGAAGAGCCTGGTAAAATCCATTTGCTTAAAAAATGAAGCAATTTAAGGTGTAAAACCAGGTAGCCATAGGGAGTCTACCTTCTCCCATGACCACAGGAAACTTTGTGGAGAGGCATTGACCTGCTCTCCCTTATTGTCTGCTACTCCAAGCCCATTCCCACAGAGCAGGGATGGCGTATAGGTATCAGATATCTGGGATTTCCTAGATAGATGTGGCAAGTTTGCCAAAGCGCATGGTGAAAAACCTATGGATCAGGCCTATGTCTGCAGGCTTCTCAAGGAATCATTTTCTCAAACATCCACTGTCAGGAGCTGCTACAGGATGATAGAGCTGTCCCTGGGGACAAATGTCATGTGCTTGAGATTCTGCATAAGCATCAGATTCGCAAATCTGCTGCCTCTAGTAAAGAGTGGCCTCGCATCTTTGAGCAGGTGGAGGTGTATACCTGTGTGTTAATGTCACAGGGAAAGATGGCATGTAGTTGTATGTGTCTACATTTTGCTGTGGAGCCGGAACCAGTAATCTTACTTTTGATCTACAACATTATAACCAAGAAGAGAATCTGACCCATAGACAACCCCTGTTCCTCTGGTCAGTAACAAGGAGTATTTAAGAGGGCTTTAGGGGCCCTTTTGGATGTTATAAAGTAACAGTGATGAGAATGACAATGCAGGTTTGAGATGGTTCCCAGATGCCTGGATTACATAGACTATATGCCAGGCCTATACTGTGGGATGTGACAGAATTTGTCCACGCCATCTACTGTGCTCTTGTCTCTGAGGAAGAGAAGTCCAGATGCCATGGTCAAAGGTGTCTCTCACCAGGTTCCCCTACATCCCGAGAGAGTCATGCTGCTGTGCTCATCAGCAGCCAAATGTAAAGACACCTGTGAGCTCTGCTCTTTCACTGATCCACTGAATGCATCTCTGCTCCATCGTGTAAAAGAAACTTGTTAATGGTCTAATATCTGGTTAAAAAGTATGGCTTGGATTTTCTAGAAATGTGTTATCATTGCAGGCATTGCAATGATATGCCTTTCCTATTTTATGGGGTGTTTTAGCAGCCTTACCTCAACACAGTGACTTAGTGTAGGGATTAAAGAGCATGTATACCTCAGCCAGCCATTCCTTTTGGCCTCTCAGTGACCCCCATGAGTTCGCTTGCATACCTGTCCCAGCACTTCATGTAGGAAAGGCTTGCCAATTTTCAGGTGTTTTAGCTAAAAATGCAGCATTGCTGCTTCTACAGTAAAATGCTTAGTTTAAGTCTGAATTATGCCATGAACATTGGCAGGTTTTGTTTGTTTTGTTTTTCTCTTTCCTCTTAGGCACTTAGATTTCTTTGAGATGGTCAGAAATGAAGATGACCTGGAACTTGCCAAGCGGTTTGACCTGGTAAGTTTTTCTCTGGAGTCCCTGAACTTGCTAAAGCTGAACATCCACTTTGAATGCTTGGTGCAACTTCCCTTTGTGTTCCCTGAAAACAATGATTGACTTTGGTGCTGAGCATGGCTGGTGCTCTTGTTTTTGCTGTTTCTCATTTAGCAAGTCAGGGATCTGTGATGTGTGAACAATGAAAACAATGATCACAAACAGGGCTTCTGCCAAGTATCTTTTTGTCAAAGACTTCTTTCTTTTGTTTGGCTGAAGGTGCAGGAGCGGAGGAGGTTCTCAGCCCTGCGCTCATGTTCTCAGTCAGACATCCCCTTTACAGGACTATGGGTGAAGCTTGAGCTCTTCTCTAATACTTTTCCCAAGATTACAGGAAACTCTCCTGAAGACCGTCACCTTAGAGCCTGTGGAGAGGATCAGTATTTTAGATTGGTTGGATTTTAAAGATGAGCAGAGTTTCCACAACCTCTAGTAACAGTAAGGGGCTGTAGGGTCCAGAATACTTATAGTTTTCTCTGTCTTCGTGACCAGCTCTTGCTGCACACCGATACAAAACAACTAGCCCTTTGCTGCTTAGCTTCCACTATTTGTGCCACCACTTTCTAGGAATCAAATGTTTTGCTTGCTCTAGAACATCTCTTGGTGGCTTTCCATGCCTCCCACCTTTGTAGCCCTTTACTTTGGGGATCTTTTCCATACTGGTGTGGGGATGGCAATGCTAGTCTCAAAGACCCATGTACCTGTTCCTTACTGGAACTTGCAGCTGGACATTGCAGGAGACTCTGCATAGGTCCAGTTGCTGGAAATTTGCCTGTCTCTGCGTTGATCAGATCTCTCACAGTTAGTCAGGCTTTCACCGTGCGTGTTTTTTCTCTTACTTGTTTTTTCCCTACCTTCTCTATCTTCAGATCCACATTGACACAAAAAGTGCCTCTCAGATGTTTGAGCTGATCAAGAAGAGGTTGAAGCACACAGATGCCTATCCCTATTTGTTATCCATCCTCCAGCACTGCTTGCAGATGCCATGTGAGTACATCACAGTTTTCCAGATCAAGGGGTATTGAAGAACTTGGTGAAACTTCGGTGTAGGTACAGGGCCACAGACACACACCACCCTTGTCTTCCATTCAGAACGTGGCAGTGGCTGAGGGACTTGGTATCTTACACTGACTTCATCCAGCAGATTTTTGTCGCAATACTTAAAGCAGCAGCTCGAGTTCTCTGCAGTTGCAAGTAGCTGAAACATTCCAGTTAGTCACTGACAGAGCCTTTAATGATTTTAAATTAGAAGTTTTTAAAAAGAAAGAGCCCTTGTGCTCTAGCTCAGGGAATTCCCAGAAATAGATACCATTTTGAATATTAACAAAATGCACTGAGGAATTTTTCTGGTGAAACAATGCAGTACTGAAAGCTGTTTTGTCACTAGGAAATTCCACAGTAAGTCTTCAGGCTGCTATCTCATGGCAATGCATCAGTGGAGAGCTCCTGAACTTAAACTGAAAATCAGCATTAGCATTTGTTTTCAAGAGAAGTGCTAGGAATCTTCTTGTTAACTGTAAAAAAAAAAAATTCAGTTACGCTTCCAGAGTGTAGCAAGGAGGAAGGGCATCACTAAAGAACTGCCTGCCTTGATCCTGTTAGGTATCAGGTGCTGGTCTTCATTACTTTCAGCCATACTTGAGGAGTCAAACTGAATATGAGGGAAGTTTACAGTGGTGTGCCTTTTCAGAATGTACCAGGGTATGTTCTCATGCACTCATTATATTAAAGTGTTGCTATGCACAAATCCAAGCAGCTGTTTGTCCCACTTGATATTACTCTTCAAGGCAGTACTTGAGCTTTAGGTATCAACTTGGATTTTTGGTTCAATTTCTGTTCTTTCCCTCCACACTTTTTTGGTTATGTTTGTATGAATTTTCCATGCGAGTTCAGTTTCACTGACCTGCAGATAACTGAGCATGCAGATAGAACATCTGATTGTTTATACAGTGCCTGGTCATGATGTTACCTGGGTACCAAAAAAAAAAAATAATCGTGACATCAAGCCCCAGAAAATACTGAGTAACAGCTGTCACAAGGGAATCACTACTGTAGGCGTTTAAAGTGCAAGTTAAAGCTAATCTGCAAAAAGGGTTGCACAGCCTGAATGTGCTTTTTGGGCACAGAGTTGTCCGTGCCTGTTATGTGCTGTTCCAATATGCCAGGTGTTTGTAAATAATCTGTTAGCAACGCTTCAATGTTAAGCTTTGTGTTCTATACCTTAGTGCATACAGAATTGAGATGGAAGGTGGAAAAGAAGTCTGTTGGCAGGTCTGTGCACTTTGGCACGAAAATGGAAGTTCTTATGGGTTGATCTTTTTCCATACAGATAAGAGGAACGGAGGAAACTTCCAGCAGTGGCAGCTGTTGGATAGAATACTCCAACAAATCGTTCTTCAGGATGAACGAGGAGATGATCCGGATATAGCTCCATTGGAAAACTTCAATGTCAAAAATATCATTAAAATGTAAGCAGCGTTATTATTGTTAATTGCTGTTATTCAGGTATAAGTATATGATAAGTATGCAGGTGCTTAGGAAATAAAATATGATATCTGTGGACTTTCTTATTTTAACTTACAGCTTTTCATTGTCTTGTTAGTCTTCTAAATAGTTCCCTTCTAACGATATCTTAACCAGACAGTATTTTCTAGCAAAGTCTTTGCCTTTGGCTTATAATTTCTATTAAATATTAAGAGCAGAAAATAAAAGAGCAGAAAAAGTACCTATGATATTATAACAAGGCTTCCTCGTGTGCCTTTTTAATTTAGAATGTTGGTGAAAGCTTTCATTGATATTAAAAATAATAATAATGATGTGATCATCTCTACTTAGATCTCATTCTTCACTAATGAGCATATAGTTTAGAAAGATTTCAAACAGTGGAAAGCAGCCCCCACCTAGCACACAAAACCTTTTACCTCTTCATAAAGTATCTGCATGCTCTCACCCACAGACTGGCTGAGGGCACTGCCGTTATTTTTTCCCATAGGACGCACCATTTGAGAAGTCTAGCTACATGAGCTGGCTCTCATCTCAACTTCCCTGTTCTCAGTCCTTTTTTAGCCAAACTTTTGGACTCTTCATTCCATCCATCTGCCTCTGCAGGTAATTCATGGTCCATTACCCTTCTGAATTATCCACTGAAAAGAGCATTTTATAGAACATAAGCCTCATATGAAACCAAATTCTCCTGTACTGAAAATCTTACAGTCCCTCCTGTTACAGGCATGAGCCAAAATCAAAACTGTTTTCTCATCATGGAAAAAACACAGTGGTGTTATCTCTTTCTGTCTATCTGAATATCAGACTTCATTGTAGACCTAGTGCCTGATCTTCCCTTTCTACTTGCAAAGCTACTCCTCATTCTGCATATCTAATCAATCCCCAGAATGCCCTGCATATTTTCTGTCAGTAATAGGAAATAGTTTTGCCAGTATGAGATATGAGCATTGCCTTGTTACTGATATACTACCCAACAGATAAGCATCCTCCCTCCTTGTAAGAAAGGAAAAAATAGAACCACAGGGAGTATAAAAAATGATGGCAATATGGTCTTGTATTAAGGATGGGGTAATTTGTAACTCACAGCAGCTATGATTATTTTAGTGACGATTTCTCTCTTTCAAAATAAGTAGACTCGGCGCTTTGAGGACATTACCTGAAGGCAGGAACGTATCAGGATATTTTCCCCAGGCATTTCTTTATCCCTTTTCAGGAGTTCGAGCCATCACATTTATATTAGCTGTTGGCTATAGTAAGGATCAGGATCTGGAACCAGACTGACCACTGGTATGAGCCTGTATAAACATGTACATTCACCAGGTTGCCTTTTGCTGATCACTACACGTAATGGCCACTTGCATTTCAGCCTGGGTAGCTCAGAACAAGTTTAAATAATCTGATTTCATCTTTCAGGCTGGTGAACGAAAATGAAGTGAAGCAGTGGAGGGACCAGGCAGAGAAGTTTCGCAAAGGTGAGTGCATCCTCTGTGCTTGGGTAGGCAAAAGACGTGGCAAGAATTATCCCAATTCAGTCGCAGAGCAGCAGGCAGCAGAGCTGGGCACCACTTTTCCATTCATGGACAAACCCTGCTTAGTTCCCTCCAGTACATTTTGTCTCATGGTGATCAGTTTATATATTTCATAGGATGGGGCTTTCCTCAGTCCTCACATTAAGTCATTTACAGTCAAAGTGAAACTTGGGCATTGCTGTCTTGATCACTGAAGATCACTGTCAAGACAGTCAGACTCTGTTTTCTTTTTCCTAGTCTCATTACACATGCCCAGCTGAATGAACAGATTTGTGAGCTTTATTTCAGCATAACCTGCATCTCTTTGGGGACTGTTTATGAACTTTGTTTCATCAGCCCCACTTGCCTGTTCCCCCTAGATCATGCCGAGCTGATGAGCAGGCTAGAGAAGAAGGAGCGGGAATGTGAGACAAAGACCCAGGAGAAAGATGAAATGATGAAGACACTGAACAAAATGAAGGACAAGCTGCAGAAGGAATCCTTGGAGCTGCGCCAGACCCGGGACCAGATGAACGACCTGGTGGCTCAACTTAATGAGTTCTCGGTATGAGGCTGGGACTCTTCCCATCCTTGTTTAAAGCCTGCTAACTAGTGAATAATGAACAAAAGCACATTATAAGTGAAACACTTTCTATGGTCAGTACAGAGAGAGTCTGTCTAGCCAGCTAAAAACTGGCTAAGAATAGCTAAAAACAGCTAAGAATACTTAGCAACAGCTCAGCTTTGAGGTGAGACCAAAATCCCTGAGCTAATGCTATAGAATAGATAATGCATGAGCTGCTTCATGCTCCATTCCTTCTCCTCAACCACTTTCCTTGCAGGAGCTGATGAGTGTGGCCCTAGCCACACTCTAGCCATAATTTTCACTGGTGATTGGGGTGGGCCTCATTGTTACTTCAGTAGAATAGAGAGAAATCTCCCAGATATGAAAGTAAATTTAGTGAAGAAACAGGATTTCCTTCAAGAGCGTCTGTACTGCCTTGGAATTCTGCAGAAGTGACATTTGCAGCTGCTCCCCTCTGCTCGGTGCTCCTTCTGTCCCAGCAGTGTGCCTGAGCCTCAACTCACTGGGACACAGCCCTGAGAAGTTAGACACTGCAGCAAGCAGATTCATTCCCTCCTCCTCGTTCCCACTTTGCATTAGTAGGGGCCTAATGACAGCTATTCTGTATTTCAAACCCTAAGGTTTAAAACCAGGGAGTTCAAAAGTTCATAAGATTGAACTTTTCTCTTTTTTCATACATAAGGAGAAAATAATACAGTTTGGCTTCTTTTACTAGCTTTCTGTTTTTCTGAGCTATTTATGGTTCCTTTTTTCAAGCTCTTCTCCACAACTTCAAGGGCTTGAAACTTTCTCTTAAATGAAAGCTGAGATTCCTCCCTTTATTGCATGGCTTTGAGTGCAGGAGGCTTTAAAGAAAACATCAAATATTTTGAGACTCGTAATAAAATCACATCAGCTGGCAACATGGAGTTATTGTGCCTTTTAAACTGTTTGCTTTCTTTTTCTGTGTGTTTTTTATTTTCCAGCAAGGGGGCAGCATTTCCTTCCCACCCCCACCACCCCCCCCTCCAGGTGGCCCATTAACTTTGTCCTCTTCTCACATGTCTGAGAACTTGCCCCCGCTGCCACCTCCTCTGCCTTTCTCCAGCTGTCCCCCTCCTCCTGCTCCACCACCACCTCCAGGAGGACCTCCTCCCCCACCAGGAGCACCACCTTTCTTCAGCATGGGGATGCCACCACCTTCAACAACCACCTTCAGCAGCAGTGGCACCAGCTTGAAGAAGAAATCTATCCCGCAGCCTTCACACCCACTGAAATCTTTCAATTGGGCTAAGCTCAGTGAGGTAAGAAATTGCAGTACTTTCAGCAATTAATTTATTTTCTAAGTATAACTCAGTTTTGATTAATGCCATGAAGTGCAAGGTGACAGAAGCGAGTGATATTGTGGCTTTCCTTGGACTGAGGTCAGTAAGAGTCAGTAACTGTCCTGAGGGAGTCTCCCCAGTTCTCCAGCAGTGCAGCGTATCTCCTGTGACAACCGAGGTGCTGGTTAGATGAGCAGCAGTCAGTAGATCTGGGCATGCTATTGGTTAGGCAAAGCTGTAGTGGGACTGGATACATAAGCCAGAGCTGGACATCTCCAGGACTGGTATGTCAGAGTTGCCCTCATGTCAGGGAAAAGGATGGGCAGAGCCAATGTGGACAAAACGTGGTGAAAACCAACTCCAGCCTCCTCTACCCTGGAAAGAGCTGTCACCAAGGAGGGAAAGGTGACCTGTTTCTTCTCACCAGTTGGTCATGGAAGTTGGTCATGCAAAGCTGCCCTTCTCTTTGCATGGTTACAACTCTGTCTCTTAGCGATAAAACTTCAAATTGGTAATAAAAACAGAGGACTTGGATTCTTCTTGTTCTGCTACCTCGCTTCTCTCTCCTTCCCCTCCACTTCTCTCTCTTCCTTCTCTCTTCTTTTTTTTTTTTTCCCCTCCCCTTCCCTTTAGGTCTTAATTTTTTTTAACTGATTTAGAAAGAAAAAAAGTGTCTGTGTTGAGTTTGGATGGCTGCCTAGAAACCCAGGTTCTCTTTTAGACTGAAACTCACCCAGGGCCCAACTTCGGCATTTGGAATGAGTGTCCAGGGACCTCTGGAATGCCACAAGAATTCTCTCTCCCCCTCTCTCCTTTTCTTTAAAATAAAGTGAAGTGAAATATTTGCTGCACCGTCTGTGCTTGTCTGTCAAGGCCACGTGGGGGGTGTGGGAGAGAATGTAAGGACGGGGATTTATTTTCCTTTGCAGAACATGGGACTTAGTGCTCTGAAGAAAAGAAATAATAACTAATATATGTATATATATGAATGTATATGAAAAAGAGAGAGTCACAGGTGTTTCTGTTTAGTGTACAGTAACTGTAGGCTTATCCTGCCCTCTGGTTAGGAGTGAAGGCAGCTGTGCTAATAAAATTGAAGACCTGGGTGGTGAGGTGGGTAAAAGACGCTATTTTGAGGAAGGCAGAATAGTTGGTAAAGGGTCAAAAGAAGGTAGTGGCCTCACTTTGGGGTGTTTGCCAGCGTTAGTGTTTTGACCTAGTAAGGTCTCTGCAAAACTGCAGAGGTTGTGATGCAGACACAGGTGGCTTGCTGTGTTATTTGGGGTGCACTTTGGTATGGAATTATTTAATTCCACTGACTGCTGGAGGAGGCCATACATTTTGGCCATCAGCATCAGTTATCCCAGATTCCCTGCTTCAGTATTGGGTACTTTCTTTCTGCTCAGTGGATATGAATCCTCTGAATGCACAGTCAGTCACAGTCACAGGCGGGTTGAATGGCCTCATCTTGCCTTTTGTTATCATTGCAGCACTTCTGTGGTCTCCTGAACTGTCAAAGTAGCCATACATGAATGAATGAAGACTCACAACAAGCATACTGGCTTAGAGCAGCGTATCTTGAGTTTTTGAGCATGGGAAACTGAGGCCTGGAAGTGTGCATAGTATTATTGTGGCTTGTGGTAGTGTTTAACTTCCAATTTTCATGAACACAAGTTTTCCCCACAAAAACATTTTGAAGAAAAATACCTCTGACACCATGTATGTTTTTCTTTTTTAAAAGACCGGTCTAGATAGCAAAGAGCACAGGCATGTCTGCAGCACACAACACAGCAAGGTGCGGTGACACAGCGTTGGAAACAGAGCTGTAAAAAAATTTAGGGCTGCAGCCCGGTCAAATATGTTACTCAGCTCTTGGGTATCTCTGCAAAATGTTTAGACTATTCTTCTCAAAGCAGTTAGTACAGTGTCTCTCTCATAAACTTTAAGTGTGAAGACAATGCCAGGACTGAGGCAGCCCACATGAGAGCCAACCCCTTTCTCTCCATGCAGCCTGCCTCAAGGGAGTGAGAGGAAGCCAACAGAGCCCAAGAGGAGAGTGGACGGGGCTGGCCCAGAGGGATTTGTCTGCACTAGACTTTTTCAGTAGTGGAACCAAGGCAGTTCTTCAGGGCACTTCATACAGACACCTTTTTTCCCCATTGCTGATACTGTCTTTGGAAGGAAAGAACTGAGCTGTTGGGTGCTAGGACAATGATCAAATATATTAAAACTCTTAGCAGTTGACAACAACAGATGGTCCACAGTTCCCATGGGCACCACGAGAAAAGGTTTGACTGGAAAGTGTTCATGCTTCTAACAAGGAAACTCCGACGACCCGCTAATTTCCTTTGAGAATTAAAGATTTTGTACTAACTTTGATGTGAGCTGACAATCAGTAGCAAAGCTATTTAGATGCGTGGATGGGCTGAGTTCTGGTGAAACCCTTCCACACCACAGCTCCATTCATACAGCACTGTAGCATTGTCTGTGAATTCCATTCATACGGCACTATAGTAGTGCTGGTGCCAAGGATCTCTGTTTTTTAAGAAAAAGATATTGCAATGTAACCACTGTAACATCCTGGAAAGATTCCTTTCTTTGTTTCTGGACAGCGAGTGGAGTTTGCTCTCCCACTTTGAATTTTACACAACACCCAAGGTCAAGCAGGGACCACACATTCATGGTTAATCCAAACCATGGAGTAGTTTGAAGCACACTGGAAGAATGGCTTAATGTGATTACCTCTTTAATAAATATAAACGTATCGATTTGAAGTTACCAGAGTGAATCAAACCAGCCTTCAACTATGCTGCTTGTTATGCTGCTGGAGAAGAAGCTTCTTGATAAGAGCCAGACTGGTAATGATGCTAGTCAATGATCTGAAATGGGCTTTCTTTAGCCAGCCCTAAAACAGACCAGGGTGAAATAATCTCAGAAGAAAGGTGTTTGTTCTACATACTGTATATGGTTGAAAAAAAAAAAAAAACAAACACCAACAAAAAACCAAAAAACAAATACCAACCTTCCCTTCCCCCCTTCAGAACATAACATAAAAATAAAATGTTCGATTTGACACTGATTTTTTTTTTTTAATGTTTCTGTGATGTTATTGATGATTCTGATAAATTTATTCCTAAAAGCAGCCTGAGGGTCATGGCAAACAATGATGCAGGACTGCTGCCAGAGATTCAAAATTAATGGAAAGATTTCTACAAAGTCCCAGTGTGAAGCTACTCATAACAGCCTTGGTGGTGCCTAGTCCTACAGTGAGATAAAACAGCTGTCTCAATTAACAAACATGTCAGAAATACAATTTGCTCAAAGTGGATTTTTCTTACACTGAGGAAAGGATCTGATATCAAGAGAGAAATCTTAAAAATGCACTTTGTTCATATCCCTTATTCAGATTCATAATGGAATTGTGAATCCACTTGTTGGATAAGGAAATGGCTGGATGGTTGAATTCTAAGAGTTGTGGTTAAGAGCTTGATGTCTGAGTGGTGACCAGTGACTGTGAGGTTATTAAGGCATGATGGACTTTTGTGGCTTGCCAGAGTATCACTATTTATCTTTCAGGGTAAATAAAATCATCTGTTAGATGGAGCACAGAACAGTTTTATATGATTTGATGCTCCATGAAACACTCTCATTCTCTAGTCCTGGTGGGTCTCTCAGCAAATTGAGCTTCATTACAAAGGGGGAATGACACAACTGCAGCAGCTACAGTGAGAAAATTGTTAAACGCAACACACCAAAAACTGAGCTTGATGGACCAAATGCCTTGTCAATACTTGTTCTGATAATAAGATGTTTTGTTACCTAGTATGTGCTACCAGTTTGGTAGAGGATGCTGGGAAATGTAGTTCATAGAATTTGCCTCTCAAAGGCGGCTAAAACTGCAAATCAAAGGAACTACAGATCTCAGAAGATTTGTAGAATGAATGAATGAATAAATAAATAAATTAGGGGAGAAAAGCATTTTTTTCTTTTTTTCTTTTTTTTTTCTTTTTTTCTTTCTTTTTCTTTTTTTTCTTTTTTTTCCTTTTTTTTTTTTTCTTTAAGGAGGGAGAAAAAAGTAAAGAAGAAATAAATAATTTATTCTTAAATTCTTATTTAGGGGCCATAAATATTTTTTGTGGTGCTGAGGGAATCATTTATCAGAGCAACCACATTGTGCAAGTCTGTTCCTCTTAAAATGCTCGGTCTCTCTGGCTGATGACAAGAAACTATCAGCCAGTTAATCCATAACTGAGTAGCAAGAGCCCAGTGTAGGAAATTATCTGGCAGCAACATGAAATTTTCAAGGGCAGAGCTTATGGTAGAAATAGAAGGGACACCCCATTGCAAGTGTTTTGTGTAACAAAGGTTTATACCTCTGCCTGCTGTGACTGGATTAGCCCTTTTGGTACTAAAATTGGGTTGCTTGGGTCAAAGTTCTGTTTGTGCACACCATTGCAATGGGTGCTGCTTTGGAATTTGTCTTTCTGCTACAAGTATCATACAAACCACCCTGTGCAGGACCAGATTCAAACTGGGTCTTAAAATGGATCTGAATTGAAATTGAGAATCATTCACGATTCCTTGGATTGTTTTTCTGGGAAAGTATGGACAAGAACTACTCTCTGTAACCCCCTTGTGAGTCTCAGAACTGCCTGTTCTGGCACCTCTGCAATTCATTTGGATGAGCATGTTCTGAAGGATGTTTTCAGTGTTCATGCTATTTGTGGAGAAACTTCCCTCCTGTGAGAATTTTGTCAGCCAGACAGGTAGATGGGCAAGACTGTCATGAGTAGCAGTCTCTTGAGTCACATCTAGCCTTCTGCCAAATACAGCATACAGCTTTTTGGCATCCTCGGGGCTCTGTCCCAATGGTGACTCTAAGGACTGCTCCTAAAATCATGTCCACTGGCTCCTGTCAAGAAATATTCTTCCATTTCAGTGTTTGATGAGACAATCTGAAATAGCAAGGAACTGCTCTGCTGTTCAAGTACATCCCTCAGGATTTATAATTCAAGGTTTATAAAGCCAGCCTGGAAATTGAATGAAAATGAACGCTCTGCCTGGATGCTTCTGGCTGAGATTGGCAGTAGAGTCCAAGGTTAGGATAAAATGAAAATTAACTTTGTCTCCTATTCCTTTGGCTGAGATGAGCCTCCCAAGCTGGTTTGTCATTTTACAGTCACAGAGTCATGATAGTTTTCCGACTATAGAAAGAGGAGCCACACTGATTGCAAGGAGTGATACGATGATACTGGTGAGCTTGTTCAGGGATGGGTGCTGTTCTCATCTAGAATATGCTCTCACTGTAAATAGCACTGCAGACACCTCTCCTTGCCCTCAGGCACTCACAGGCTGTCTCTGGAGGGAGGGTGTTGGTTTTCCTCCACAGTGTCTGCCCTGCCAGGAATTTCCTCCAGAACACTTTACACTTTTACTTCCCCTCATTTCATCCTCCCATCAGGTGTTTTTCCTTGCTCCTTGAGCCTTGTGGCTTAGCACTTTTCCCTCATTCCTTTGATGACTGTGAATGGGAAGTAGAGCCTGCTCCTAATTAGTTCTGATAATGAAGTGTTAACGCACTTTTCTGTGTAGGTACAAGTCAGGTACTTCAGAGCTGTAGCCTGTATGAGGGTTTCATTGCTTTTGCTTGCTGTGCTTGGCTTTCTCTGCATCGGTGTTCTGCTGGCTCTTCATCTCCTAGGCTTTGCTTAGGTCTCTTTACAATCCCTTCTATCCATTTCCTTTTTCTTTTAATCAGCACCTTCCTTATTTTTCCAGTTAATAAAGTACAATAAATGTACACTTCATTAACTAAATGAACTGAAAGATAGTGTTGTCAGGTATGAAGAGCAAGTTTTCCTTTTGTGAAAGCTTAATTGCCCAAAGCAACATTCACCTTAACAGTCAGTAGGAAGGAGAAGGTAATTCAGTCTTTGTGTCCTCTCCGCCAGTGAGGACATCTATCCTGAAAAAGTCAGCAGGAGACCTCAAGGCCTTCTCCTAGTTTAGGATAACTGCTGATTAGCTAATTCATGTACTACAAGAACTTATTTGGTCCAGGGTTGGTGGACAGCAAAGTTGGAGGAGTCTGTGCCTGTCTCCCTCAATCCTAATCATCTGCCAGGCAGCTAGGATCCTTGGCATTCAGGATAATTTATCACAAGGTTGTGAACATTTCTGGTGAGTGTGGATGATGCTCTTCCAGAGACCTGGGTATAGTTTATTTCTATCTGAGTCAACAAAGAGCTCATGTAGACAGGGGAGATCAGTTATACTTCAAAGACTCTCAGGGCCTGAAAAGTAAAATAAAAAAAAAAAATATCTTGAACTGCTTTCATAGATGGGCAGAATGAAAACCACACAACCTTTGGGGTTTACAATAGAACCTGGCTAAATTTGCAGAAGGGAAGATGTGTCTGGGGTTTGTCATCCATCAGGGCCCTTCCTAAGCATTTTCCTCATGATGGTAACGCTTCTTTCAGCATGACCACAGTCACTGTGTCAGACGGACGCCCACTCTTGAAAGGAAACGTACTGTGGGATCACAGATATTGCTTGAGATGCGGTCTGCTAGTCTTGGAATGTGCCCTTTCATAAGAGGGTTGCTGTGATGACAAATACAAATTACTCAGTATGTTTAAAAAAACCAAAGAAACCCCCAAACCTACTTTTTTTCTCCTTTGACTCTTGAAACAAAGCATGGCCTCTAAAACGACAGCAGTAGTACGTAGGAATATGGCCAGTGAGCAGGAGAGAATGATCTGTCCAAATGGGATTGGATGTTTTTAGCTAAAAGCTTTTGCTACCTGATTAAAATATGACCTTTTTTTTTTTTTTTTTTTCAGGAGAGGATCCATGGTACAATCTGGAATGAGATTGATGATTTAAAGGCATTCAAGGTGCTGGATCTAGAAGATTTTGAAAAGATGTTCTCCGCATATCAGAGACACCAGGTAGGAATGAACTCTTCCATACCTTGTCTTGAATTTCTGGAGGAGGAAAGAACACATGGGCCCTTGTCCACCTGCAGTCAGGCTGCATCCTTTGCTGCTCTGCCATTGTTCAAAAAATCACAAGACCAAAAGAAGTGGGGAGGACATATAGGGCAGAGCATAACCTTCTGTTATCAGCATACTTTGTGCGGATGGGCAGCTCTTGGAGACAACAGCTCCCAGCAGGTGATGCTTTCTTTGATCTCAATGGCCACTGGCTTCCAAAAGCTCCTAAGCTTTACATTCATGCGTGATATCTATCTTTCTATCTCTCACATTCATCCAGAGAAAAAGTCTGTAGTTGTCTGAGTACTGGGCAAGGTGACTGAATTAGCTGATTTTTGCTTTGTCTATTTTTTCTTAAACAGCCAACTGACGCAACTGGCTAGATGACAAAAACTGTCTGAATTACAGATTATAACACAAACAGCATACTTTAAAATCAGCCATTTATTAGCATGTCTTTTTTTCCCTCCTCTTTTTCTTGGAAAGCCAGTCACTTTCAATCTGTCTGCCTCCACTGAATGAGATTTAGCAGGAGAGAGATTGTACTTGCACTTCCTGAACTTCCCCAGCTTTCCTTTGCTTTGGAATATGTTTGGAGAAATTCTGTCTTTTGTACTCTGCAGAACTGGATCTTTGCTCTGGAGTTTTAGGAAAAGACATAGATGTGATTGCCACAAGCAGGCTTTATGATTAAGGCTTACAGTGATAATGGTTACTTCATTGTCATTATGATTAACTTAGTACCTTAAAATTAACAAACAACCCCCTTGCCTTTGGATTTTCCAGCTGTTCCTTTCTCTCATTTTCCTGTCTAATCCCATTAATATAATAATAAATCTTCAGATTTACTAACTCATAGCCACCTAGATAAGCATCCCAATTTGAACTGTGGAGAATGTGATGTTACCCGTTGCATGATGAGATTTCATTTCTTGTTCTGCTCCTGCAAGTAGCTGTTGCTGTTTCAGTGGGTCCCTCTCTCTTTCTGTGAATCCCATTCCCTGAAAAAAGAAATTAGTTCATAAAGGGGAAGAAAGGCACATGGAACTTCAGTGCTGTTACAAGGTTGAATTTAGACCCTGTGCCAAAAAAGCTTAGCTATGGTGGTGAGCTCCCAGTTGTCTTGCAAGTAGCCTGTCTGACTGTCACCTGTGCACAGGAATAGCCATTGCAGCATCGAGGTGTCATTCCAATGTTTCAGGTGCAAATATCACAGCTTCCTCATTAGAAATAACCTTGCAAAGGCTTGCTTCCTTTGGGCTCCAAAATCCAAAGCCAAAGCTGTCCTGATCTGCCGACTCCTGGAATCATAATATTTATGGCTGTGTTACCAACCACTGAAAAGCAGCCTGGCCTATTCAACCATAAACTAACCTGACCCCTACCCCTGCCCACTGGAATGGAGCCATCATCACAGAGTGACCTCCATTGGTCTCAGAACAGTTCTCTCCCAACCTCATTAAACACACTTTATGACAGTGGCTCCAGACACTAGAGTGTCACTTATGTAAGCTACTTGTATTTTTATGTGGTTTAGGAGCATTGTGTGCTTCCAGCTTTCATTGAGGGGTTTCTGTTGGATTTTTTTTCCTTTAAATATTCCATTGTTATTACTTTACGTGATACTTTCTTTTTCATCCATACTCACTCCAGTGTGAACTGGATTCCAATCAACAAGTCCTCATCAATTTTTTTTTTCTTTTTTTTTTTTTTTTTCTTTTTAAAGACCAGGCAACCAAAACTGCTTTTGAATCAAAATCTTATGAGAACTTTTCCAGTTGATTCACACTTAGTCTTTTCTCTTCTTTTATTTTTGGAAATATTCCACTCTGGCCAAGTATGTGTTTATACTGGGTTTGTGACTTTTAAACGTCGTCCAAATGTCTTTAAAGAAAAATGTCAATGCAAAGCCCTGCTCTTTTGCATCTGAAATGTTGAATGAGTACAGATAAAGACATTTCTTTCTTTGCTGTTATTAACATGATCAGTTTCTCATTTACATTAAACAGTTTTCCTTTCTTCTTCATTTTTTTAATGACAAAGGGTCTCTTCTCCTTTCTCAAGTCCAGTGTATTGTTTTTGGTGGCTATGAAGGAAACAGAATTGTCTGGTGCACAGAATGCTGGATCAAGAATTCTTACACTTGTCTTTTGACCTTGCTCCAATCTTACTGTGTAATATTGACCTTTTGATTCCACATATCTGTTGTTTTCCTGGAGTATGGAATATGTTGTGAAATAGTTGGATTCTGTCACCCAGTAGTGCTGTAAGACTTCTTTGGTGGTTACTGAGTGCTTTCAAAATACTTGGCTATAAGTTGCTTTTTTCAACATGCTGTTGAAAAAGGTTTTTATTAATAATGGCAAACTGTGCCCATGCTTTAGGAGAGGAGAACTGACCCTCAAGTTTTACTCTTGGAAGTTCTTTCAGTAAGGCTCTGGACTACATTTGTAAAGGTATTTAAGCATTATCCTTGTTAATGCTTCAAGAGCTAAGAGATTTATTCTTTGGAGACTGAATTTATTATTTTCAGAAAAGACCTAGAACTCTTAGTTCTGCAACATCTGCTGATTTAAAATATACAAAGAAATGCTGAAATACCTTTGAACCATCTGGGCCAGTATTATTTGCTAAGCATTTTATTCTCTTAGAAAATAGTGTGTGTCTAAATTCAGCTGCCTTGTTAAACTTGGTATCTTTCTCTGTGACTAATTTTTGGCATGTTTTCTTCTTCGTTATTTGCGGCTGCTGCCTGCATAGGACCTGCTAACTAACCCCTCCTCCTGCAAGCAGGTGAGTATCATTGTCTGCCTCCCAATCCCCTTGCAGTGTGTGGGAAGGTAAAGTCCTGCGCTGTGCTGTTATGGGGACAGAACTCATCTCATGCTACTCTTTCATATGCCCTTGCACCTCTGCTTTCTGGATGAGGAAGGTGGTACAAAAAATTCCTTTAGTTGGTGAGAGGAGGTAGTTCCTGTTCTTTCACTAGCTATAACCCCACTGTGGTTTCTACTGGTGTCTGTAGTCCCCTTTTTGATGTTCCTGAAGAAAAAGACCAGGGAAAACATAGAATGTGAACGTGAGCTCTTCCTTAACCAAAGCAATAGTCTCTCTTGTGGAGAACAAAAGGAACTTTCAAGACACCTTCACTCCCACTGTTTCCACCTGTGGTCCATATGCTTTGGATATTACTGAAGTCTCCAGGTTTACTCACCAGCCACAGACCTTCTTATAAAGAAAATCTTTCTGTAGAACCAGAAGGCACTTTGGTTGGGCAGAACGATTTGTGCCAGCTGAGAAGAAAAAAGATTAGGCTGAAGGAAAGCATACTTCATTTCAGACTGCTGAAACCCTCAGAACATTCAGTGAAATACTGAAATGGTGTTTAGAAGTAGAGATACCAGACTGCCTGCAGGTCTTCAAACTGGCTGCCTCTCAGTTTATTCATCCTCTTAAGTGAAATTCTTGGCAACATGTTTGGGAAGAGCAGTGCTCTCAAGATGGTTGTTCAGATGTCCTCACAAGTGTCTCTGGTGGCTTCAGAAGAAAGCAGTCCTCACCATGAGTGCTCAGGAAATTGTATCTGGAAAGTCTGGTCAGGACCTCTGCCACAGGATGAGGCTAATACATGGCTCTGGGCCATTTACTGGCTATCATCGTGGTAGCATGCATCATGAAACATGTCTATATGTTAGAAATAGTTCCCTAAAGCATTTATAATTATTTGAACCTAGGGTGCTGCCCTGATACCAGACCACATGTTCTGCAGCTAACCAAAATCAAACTGTATTTGAAATATGGCAGCAATATGATGAAGGCATTCCACATGTCTAGTCATCCCAGCACTGAAATTTTGCTTGGTTTTTGAATTTTTAATTAAAATCTCAAATCTGAAATGCTCTTTGAAGCTGATAACATAATGTTATCCCAGATGGAAATTTGGTAAGTAATGATGGGATAAAACTTAAGGGTCTTGTCTGTCAGGCTGACAACAGCTCCAACTATTCTTGCTTTTTGTTTGGCCTATCTCACAAAAGCTAGTCACTACTGCCCCCTTGCTCCTCTTTTTTCATGTCTAAGAAAATGCAGATAGTCCATACACAATCTGTTTTCCTTCAGTTAAGCTTGCAATCTGGCTTCAGTAAAACCTGAGTCTTCATCTGCTTTTGCTTACGCACAACTCTGAGTATCTATAAATATCTCTCTCCTTAATATGAGTTGAAGAGAATATATTTTTAGATGAGGCTAGCCCACTCCTTCTGACCAGGGAGTGGACCACATCTGAATAGTTCAAGTTGTTCATCTGTGTTGAACCTTGCGGGCTTGGGAATTGGAAACGGGATGGAGACTATTATATCAATCCCTGTTGCACAGCCTTAGGGGAAGCCATCTAAACCTCCACCCCACACACACAGTCAAACCCTGAAACAATTTGGTTTTCTTCCTTGGGATGGGTGCTGATTAACACTAGCCAGGTGTGCTTGTCTGCAAACATTAGCTAGTGAGGGACAGTGAAGCTTTTAAACCAAAAGCACAGGCCATCAAGGGCTTTTCTTACCTTCAAAGGCTGCCTGTCTCCCCATTCTCCTATCTTCCTCCCCACAAGATGAGGAAACTCATGAAAACTTTGATGTCTCTACATGCCAGATTATAGTGGGTGTGCCCTGCTTTTTGGTATTGTTAGTTATTCTCTCAGAAATAAAAAACTTGCCCAATGCTCAATTTTCCCTTTTCTTTGGAAATGCTGTTTGATGTTATGAAGTAACATTGCAATTTTTTTCTGCCAAGCCTAGCCACTTCGGGCACATCCAGCAGAACTATTGGGTGTGTGTCCTCAGCTGGTTCATTGTACCTGTTTATAAACACTACTCAGCATTGGTGGTGGCTCACTGCAGCACGTATGGATGTGGCTGTAGGAATCATTTATATACCGGGCGCAACAGCTCATGTAACAACAATCAGCTCATTGTAGCTGATTGTACTAAGAACTCAAATGATAGCTAGCAGTGTGAATCTATGATTTACAGTTAACTCTCAAATTTCTGGGTGTCAAAATCTCTTTGTTGTGCTGATATAAGTAAGCCCTGAGCTGCAGAACCTTGACTCCTGGGACTGAATTCCGGGAAGCACCACTGTATGCTTGTCATGATCTTACATCTTCCCCTGGATATCTGCTGTTGACCAGTCTCAGGGACAGGATACCACAGTAGAGGGACGTTTTTATCTGACTCAGCATACTTACTATTATGTCCTAAGAAATAAATCACATTACTAATTTGATGGGTTCATTCAAAGCTAGATTATACTGGTAAATCTCAAAATAGCAAGGCATGACAATATGGATATCATGGAAAGGCATTTTTGAAGAGGTTCCAGCAGCAGTTAGCTGGGAAAATAAAACCTGTCCAGTTTCCAATTCCATCTTCTCTGTTGGTAACTAGAGAGCTATTATCCAGGATTAACACCTTTTATCATTACCTCTACTTCCCGTTAAGGAATGGTGTTAAAAGATAATCAAAGTAACTACAGAAAGCCAGTCTCTGGAAGTGAAACAAAGCTCATGGCTCTGGTGCATAGGCAAGACAAGGAGACAGAGATTTCTGGGCTGTCAGCCTGGGTTTGCAAATAGTTTATTTCTGTGTACTGTGACAAACGCTTTGGATGGGGATTTTCCAGGCTTTTTCCAGGTGATAAGTTCAGCAACAGGGATATACAGAGAACTTTGAAAACCGGCAGTTTCTATAGGATTAAAGGTGTAAATTAATTTGAAAAAGAGAGGCTGGTTCACATGTAGATGTCAATGATTTAGTAAGATATATTTAGTAAGATAAGTGTCATCTTGCAGTTTGTATCTCTCATATAATATGTATTAGACTGGTCCAGTGGCAGCATTAAGAGATGATGGAAGGATTTTTCCTGATTGTGCTCCAGCCTTTCAAGAATAGTGTATCACCTCCAGGAGGTATCTGCTGAAGGATATGCTGTGACAACAGTGGGTGTTACCATAATGTGTGCAATTTCCCTGTCATGCCAGTTTTGCATAATAACGTAATAATAATTACATACTTGTTGGTAGAGTGTGATCAATAGGTCAGAATCAGGTCCGGTATTTGGAAGCAATGATGATCTTATAGGTGGTAATGAATGACTTCTGTTTGTCTAGAAATACAGGACCTTCCTACATGTTTTCTGCCCTTCCTGTTTCTGTTTCTCACCATGTGGGTGGATTTTCTCAGACTGGGATGAGAAATCCAGATTGGGATTTCTTCATTACAGTCAGTTAAGTCTATCAGTCTTGGGTGAGAAATATGATACTGATTGTTTTCCCCTCCCCTTTTGAATTACATGCAGAAAGAGATGGGTTCAACAGAAGACCTTTACCTCTCCACACGAAAGGTGAAAGAGCTCTCTGTGATTGATGGCCGGAGGGCGCAGAATTGTGTCATTCTCCTTTCCAAGTAAGTGTGCTGATCCTTAATTCACAGGGTATCCTGTGGTCAATGTAGAGGCAAGAGGGGGTGGAGTTAAGCAAAAGGGCATGCTTCTTTTCTCAGCTAGACCTGCTGTCTAATACCAGCAGAACTTCAGAGAAACCTCTCCTCCTGTGTCATAAAAGCACATCTCTCTGAAGTGTTAGCTCGCTTAATAAACGTGCACACACACATTTTCTGCATTACATAAACATACACACCAAAATGTTTTTGAAGACTCATCACCAGAAAACTGTCAGTACTCACAGGCAGATGAAAGCAGCTCATTGGCAGTGCTTGCACTTCACTCTGTGTTCCCCATGCTATGTGTATGTGTCTCTATGTTTTTTTCTAAATGTTGCTCTGAGCATCTCCCTGGAACTACAGCAGAGCTGAGAGTGGTGCTTATCTTTGTTATTTTTGACTCTTGGTGAGAACAGTTAATGTAAAAAGAGATATTCAAGAATTAAATCTTCTATTTGTAAATTAGATTTTGGAATACAGGAGTTGCCTGCTCCTGAAATTACTCTAATGCCTTCAAATGCTGTGACATCAGGTCCCTTAATATTCTTTTCATGCCTTTCTACCAACATGAGTACTGGGCTGGGTGTCTGTCACCAAACATCAGATTTGTGCAGACAGTGATCCACCTGAGAAAGTTGCCTTTCCTGCCAGCGGAGGGACAGCAGGGCTGGAGACAGATCCTGGGAAAGCTGTTGGCAGTATTGAGCAATGAAACCGTTTCATTGATCAGTAGAAAGTGTGGGTTCATATGGATGTGATTGCTTGTCTGCTCTAGCAAACAAGCAGTTAAAAAAGTTGCAGCCAGACCACCAGGACTGGAGTGAGTTCTTTCCATTGCTCCCACGGAGACTCTCATTATGCTACTTATGTGGCATTAGCCTCCATGTCAGCAGGACCCCCACCATCCAAACCAGCGATGAGGGAAGGCTTACATTTCTCTCTCTGCAGCAGTTGCCAACGCGTGTCTTTGCTGGTGTTGGCAGCTGACTGCAGGCTGGGGCAGAGGAACGGGGAGGCACAGGGGCAACAGGATTTTCATGCTGTTTGACAGACCTGCTAAAGTGTGTCCGGGGTTCAGATTAACTCATGTAAGCACGTGGAACATTTCCTAGAAATGGTAATTTAATGGGTGCAGGTGGCTGGGCTGAGGAGGATGCAGGAAGGTGGTCCATGACTTGGTATGACACTAGATATTTGTTTGTAAATATCTTCTGTCTCCAGAAAAAAAGCAGTGTGGATGGCAGCAGTACAAGTTTCTCACCATTTACCTCTGCTACTGTGCAAATCTGGCCCATTCTTACCTGAGAGAAATCCTCTCTAAACGGTGAGAGAGAAAGGACAGTCTCTGTGGTTCTTCTGTACTTCTGCTGCCTCCAGCAAAGCGGCATTGAAGCATGAACCTTGTACTTTAGGGTACACAGCATCTGTTTGCTTCAGGTGTCCGTGAAGCCAGTACACCTCAAGTTGCTAGTCTGGACTCAAAACAGAGGTGAAAAGCTTTAGTTTGTGACTGTCAACTTCTCCACTACAAAGTACCCTGATCTTGTTGTTAACAAGCCTGACACAGATGAGATTTGGAGGCTGAGCCTGCTGTTCCTAAGGAGCCTGCAGTTTGCGCTGTGCCCCGTTAACTTCGCTGTGCTACGCTATGGGAAACACCAGTCATCAGGGCTATCACTGGCTTAGATCATTTAATGTTTGTAATAGGTAGTGTTACACCTAGGATATCAGAAATATCTTACAGCTTGGCCCAGAATTGCTATTCCTCCACAAACTTCCCTTTTAAGGGCAACTAGAAAAGCAAAATTCTTTTGGAACTAAAATGGCACCTCTACATTCATGCCTTTTTCTGCTCTTTGTGCTTATATGGTTCTATTATTAAAGACAGCAATTGGGAGGATTGGCTGCACACAGTAATTGAAAGAGGTTTATGACCCCTTTGCAGTTTTTTTTCATTTCCCCATTTGTTCCTCTGTTAGGTTAAACCCTGATGGAGAGACACTCCTAAGTCAGTCATCCCTGGCCCTTGCTGGTCCTGCAGCGCACCTTGCACATGTGTGTGTGTGTAGGTGTGCACACACGTGCAATGAGAGGGGATTTAAAACTGGTAACAAACAAAGAGAGTTTGTGCGACCCTGAGCTTCAGCCCCAGCTTTCAGGTTGCTGCAGTGTCTGCCAACAGCTGTTTCCAATTGACTCTTACTGTGCATATATCCCTGTAGTTTATTCCCCCTTTGTTTACACTAAACTGTCGTGTCCTTTAAAGTAAAATAGCTGCATGGGTTGGGTTTTCTTTCCCTCCACTACTCAAATGTTTTTGTTTTACTAACACTGTGTTAAAAGGGGTCAGGCAGAGCTCATATTTCATATGGTCCAACAAGCCAAAACCTAGCTAGAGTGAGAAATAGATGTCTCTTGCTTTCTTTTGCAGAGAGACTGGAGCATGGTAGACTGAAAAGGGATGAAAAGTGAATTGCTAGCTGAATTTTGCTGACAGTTAACAGATTCGTAAGCCTTCCTCCCCATTCTCATCTCTGTTTTTGTAAAAAAAGCTCAGTTTCAACTACTTGATAGCAGCATCTTTCAGTTTTCCTGCAGTGGAAGGATGTAATTTTCCTTGTTTAATGGAATCTGATGCATCCAAAACAAAGCTCTGTCCCATAGGCCAACTGTAAAGGTTTGAATAGGCCCGATATCAGTTTATCTCACAATATTTCCAGTAGGCCATAATTCAGGCAGGACCTATCTGTCTGTGGTGAGTCCAGGCAACTACCAGCTTCAAATCGACTTTCTTAATGGTGTTTCCAACATAGAATTATTTCTGTCACACTGGAAATCTGCTGTCCTTCATGAATTTCCTGACGTCTTCAATTTCTACCCGGCTGGAGATTTACTGTCAGGCTCGTGTGGTCTGGAAGAGTCATCCTAGATCCCTGTGTTTCCCTGCTTTCACCTAGCAGCTGGAAATTTCTCTGACCTCTCTCGTCAGTATGGCTTCTCTCTGCCTCCATTACTTTAGTAATAGGTAGTATTTTTGCTGCTCTAATGCTTTTGTTGTACCATATCTCTAAATGTTCTTGTAGAACATTAAATGGTCCTTGCAGAACATGCCTAAGGCATGTATCTCTCACTGTCTTCCTCTGTGAAATGCTCTGGAGACATCCAGTTCTATGAGACACATTGCTCAGAAGGCGGCTGAACATATACTTATGGAACTTTTTGGTGCCAGATATTTTGCATGAATTCCAGCAAAATAATTATGTCAGTGTTCTTCTGAGATGTGTTTGTTATTCCTGTGGCCCAGCTAGTCAGCAGTAAACCTCTCAAGAGGCTGGAAACAGTATGAGTGCTAGCAAAATACCATAAAACTAGTAGTAGCAGAAGGCAGAATCTGACTATACAAAAATAGTTTTAAATGTGAATATGACAGTAGCTAGATGCTAGCAGGCAGCTTCACCAAATGTTTGTGGCTTTCATGATTGTCGATTCAAATATCTGTGAATAAGGGAGAAGAAAAGAGACTTGTGCAGTATTTCCAACCAGAATACTAAAGAGACCAAGTACTTTTCTCACATAGCTATGCCTCCTCAGAGCTTCTAAACCCTTTCAGTTCAGACATTAAGAGAACAAGCTATTCAGCCAATGTCAGTCTCTGTGTACTGCCTCCGCTGTGCCCTCAGTCCCTGTGTGCCTTTCTGCCATGGGACAATACAGTGTTCACCCTTATTTCAAGGTAGATTCCAAGCAGTATGATTTTTTTTGGTACAGACAGTATCTTGATAAACAGCTCATTAGACTTAGCAGTTCAGTTCCTCAGTGTGCTGTCTTGAAAAATACTAGGAAAATAAACAGTGCCTCTTGGGTTCCTGGAGACATGTTCTGATTTCAAATTAGGTCCACAACAAATGGCTTTACCTGCTATTCTGAGTATGATAAACCCTAAGGTTAAACTGAGCATGTCAGTCGGTGCCATCCTGTCTTAGATCACATCTAGGAACATCTAGATAGGTTGATAAAAGATGAACCACTGTGTCATCAATATGTCACTGGAATTTGGGGACTCCCAAGTCTGGCCCTGCTTTGCTTTGTTTGGCTCAGAAAGGCAGCCATCCCCAGATCCTTCTTGGTAGGAAATTGAGAGTATTTGGATGCAAAGTAGCTTGGTCATTCATGAGCTTTTACTGAAGGAAGAAAAGGGAATAAAAGAAAAGAAAAATGGGAAGAGAAGGGGAAGGGGAAGGAAAGGGGCTAATTCTTTATGCACTTGGCAGAATACTTTCACTGTGAAGTGATAAAAAGACACTGATGGATTTTTTTCCCAACTTGTTGATATAATGGTGTAAGATGTACCTGGTAAAATGTCCCAACTTTTGTCCCCAAAAGGTTAAGGCACTGTCTTCTTCACTGATGAATTGCCAGCTGAGATAAGAGGATGTGAAAAGAGTGGCTGCACCTTTCTGTCTTCTGTATGAACCTGTAGTTATACCAGCCTGGCTCCTGAACACTTCTTCTGAGAGCAGGGAAACATCTCCTTTCCTGCCTTTATGGGGTAGTGACGATCAGTATTCCCAAAACATAAATATTTCACAGCCTGTAGCTTGGCAGTTGTACAGAGCCTTAGGAGAGCTCAGGAGTTAGAGACAGCTTATGTCCCAGCCTCAAAGTTTGGGAGTAAATTGACTACTAGCCTGTGTGAAATGAGTTGTGGAGATGAAGAAGTCTGCCATCAGTAACAGCTAAGCTTTGGGTGAGCTATACAAACTGGCCTTAGGATTCACCTAAGTATCAGTCAGTGCCTCACTGTCACAGCTACTACTGCTGGCAGCTTTTGGAAGCACTGTGATTCAGTTTAGTTTGAAGTAGAAAATGGCTGTGATACGTGATAATCAGGCTGCTTCTCCAATAAAATGGAAGAGTGGGATTGTGATCCCTGTGGTATGGGCTCTTAATGTAGCTGCAGTGAAACTTGGGGTTCTCTGGTAGTAGGCAAGCATGCTTCTTTCTCAAAAGCTAAGCAAGATCTAAGCCTATGAAGTAACTCACTTTTTCCTCTGGGGGGGAGATGGTTAAAGAGTGACAAGTATTCTGCTTTCATCCATGGGAGGGAGGAATGAAGGGGGGAGGTTACTGTGAGTTAAATCAATGGGTATATTTAAGGAGGAAAAATGAGCAAGCACTGGATGTCTGTAAGGGAAGCTGATGTAAAACTGCAACATGTCTCCCAGGCATGTTCAGAGTCAGGCTGCCAGCGTTCTCCAAGAGGACGAAACAATAAACCACTTGATGTCTGCAAGTGAAGCTGGTGTTAAATCAGCCGAGGTGTCCTGGGGAGATTAGTGATGAATTACTCTGCAGAGTCAATAGAGATTATTTATGAAGCCAGAGGGGATAGAGGGAGGCAGGCTAAGTACCATATCAGAAGTTATTTGGTACTTGTTGAGCTTTAACATTGCTTGAAGATGACTCAAGCAGTTGGACTTCCATATGCTGCCACCAGATGTATGGGTGAGGGAAGAAGGAGGGAGGATTCTCAGTAAAGATCTTTTTCCCTCCTCATCTGACCACTTTCAGGCTGCTGTTGAACAAAAATAGTCAATATCTGCACTATGAATGAATGTGCTGCAGCTGAGGAAAGGGGTACTGTCTTTTCTTTTGGTCACATTTACTTCCTGAGTCCCAATGCCAGGATCCGTGATTTGGTGAAGCGTCATGGAGAGAGAATACAGCTTGAATTGTATGCTGTTTCGAATTGAGTTGTCTCCAGCAGCTGGAGGAAGAGTGCCTGCATCTGCAAAGCTTGTAAGAAAGTCATTGCAGACTCTTCGATAGATACGGAAATGTAATTTCTCTAGTGTAAATTTTTGGGCCATAATTCCACTTTAATTTGCTGTCTGTCCCATATGAGTTTTAGGCTCTGAGGGATGCCTCTATTCAGTTCTAAATGAAAGATTTTACGCATCTGCTTTAGGTTGCTCTTTAATCAGTTCACCTGTTTCTGTTTAAAAGCAGCACATCTGTTTCATGTTACCACTGGCCATCTTTAAGATCTACTGCATGGCTGGGCATGAGTTTTGAAAATACAGGAAGAATCACTTGATTAACAATCCTTAGGCCAGTTATTCAGCCAGTTTTCAAGTGGGAAGATCCTTGTTTTGTGCTGTTGATGCTTACAACTCTTGAAATCATCCTACCCTATAAGAGGAACAAGCCCACTTTGGAAGAGTAAGATTCTTTTGCCGTAAATCCTTCTGTACTTGTAATTGGATTGGTAATAATCTAGGATGCACACCTGCAGGCACTGTGGCCCCGTTACAGGCCTGTAAGTGACTAAGTTAAACTGCTTCTCAGCAGGAGGCTGGCAAGCTCTTTCCTTCTCTCTACTGTGGGCTGAACCATTCGAGCCAGATGTTTTTCTACTGATGGCAGGGCACAGAATCATCCAAGAAATCAAAGTGTTTATATAACTGTCTGCTCTTAGGGCTCTCAATTATTTTTGAACAGAAGATATTTTCAAGTGTATTTAGTGCTGATGAATGGCAGCAAAAGAGTTTGAAGTCCTCAGGCTCCTGGACAGAACAGCAAGATCAGTAATAACATGTGCTACACCTTCTGTTGAGTTGCTGTACCTCAGACCTGTCTATTTGGTCCTGTTTACTGCGTCCTTAAACACAAAGAGAGGCACTTGCACTGTGTAATGGGGCTCGAGTTATTTTTATGGAAAAAACATGAAACTCGCCCTCATTCTTCTTATCTTCAGTGAAAGTGGCAACAAAAAAAACCCCACCCTGGCATTCATGGGTTGGCTTATGTGTCCCCTCTGACAGTCTGCAGCCTGTGTCTCAAGGCAGAGCTCATCTGTGGACTCCAGATTCTGGAAAGTGTAAAGGTGCTGTCTAAAGTAAAAATAACCAACAAAATGTAGCACTTCAAAAACTGCAGGCACCAAATTGTCTGGGCATGTGTGTATGTGTTTGCTAGGAGCCAGACCCACACCTACTAATATGCTTCTCAGCTCTCATGGTCACAAGGTTTGGTAAGTTCAGGGTCACACCATGGACTTTACGATTCATGATTATTAAAAGCCAAAAGAAACCCTTCGGTTTTCAGATTGAGACTGTAGGGCTTTATGCAGAACCCCATGTACTGAGGTTTTTTGTTTTGATCCCGAGTCAAACTGATGACCTAAAGTAAAAAGTTTCCAGCCTTTTCATTGTAAATCTTTGAATCCTTGTATCTCATCCAAGAGTGGCCCAATTATGTAGCTTTTTTGGAAATTCAGTAGCTTTTTTTTTACTTGGTTGGTATCAGTTTGCCCTCCTTGTCAAAAGCAGACACGATGACCAGCTAGGAACAGAGTGAGAACAATTAGTTCAGAGGTGTAATATGTGAAAGCTTTTGAATGTCTGCTGATTCATATTTTAGTTTCCAGCTGTTGGTTATATTGGGCAACATTAAAATGTTTTAAGTTTCTTAGATTTAGTAATATTTCCTGTCTGTAAAAATAAAACTCTTTCTTTTGCTTTTACCTAGTTCCAAAAATATGATTCTATCCAAATGGTAATAGCAATGTGAAATTTCAACATGGAATTTCTTAGCACTGAAGGCAAAAACATTCTCCCTCATGCATCATCCTGTCTCTCATTTATATTTGCATTTTCTCTTTCTGCTGTTAATTAATTATATTGATTGTAGAAGGTCCATGGAGACTACAGACTTCACTTCTCAAATATTTCTTTTCACACTTTCCTGTTTCAGTCCCAAAACTGAGATTTTTCTTGTGGATAGCCTTTCCTTTATGATTCATTAGGTCCTCCCCTACTCTCCTGAAATGACTGATGGGGGTGTCATGGCTTGGGGATGGTGGGGTAGAATTTGTCACTTGTGCATTTCTTTGTTGACATTTGCACTGAGAACCATCAAGTTCATTTCATGTAATCTATCAAACAGCCTCTCAATAATCACAAATTTTGACTCCTATTGGTATATCCTGGTTTTCAAGTGGAGATCTTGAGGTTTTTTAATTGATTCTGTGTTTTGTTATAAATGATGACCCCTACTCATTGCACACAGATCAACAGGATTAGGTGGGAAGGAGAGTGTAATTTTAATACCTCAAATAATATTAATGAGCTTTTGCTTTCAGAGTTTGTTTCATATTGGATATGAAATATGGATACATGGATGCTTTCAATTCCTTCTTCAGCTGTGACTGCTGATAGAGTGAACTTACCAAGCACAATCAGTCTTCTGACAAGAAGCCCTTTTCTCAGATCTGTAAGGGAAAGATCAGTCCCATTGCTTGTTACTCTGGGAAATGCTCTAATATTCACAGGCTGCGGTGTTACATGGGCTCACAGTCACAATTCACATGGATTTGAGGGGGTTTACTATAGCAAAAGAACTTGATGAGGGAGGTATCTGCTATGGGGGAAGTTGGAAGCACTTTCTATCTATGAGGACCTGATGGTTCTTAATCCTCATCTGATTTTTGATGCGTTAGCTGAGCAGGATAAAAATATGCGATCTATAAAATCTCTGCCTTTGGAACTGATACATTCATCTTACTGAATACTCTAGAATAGCTTCTGCTTCATAGTAGAACTTCCCATGTTTCTTTTGTGCTTTTTTAGTGCAGCTTTTCAGGCTTCCTACTTTCTGAACCGTCAGAATCACTTAAGCTTTGCACTAATGGTACAATGTTGATGTTGTTGAAAGGCTGAAGCTGTCAAATGAAGAAATCAGACAAGCAATCTTGAAGATGGATGAACAAGAAGACCTAGCGAAAGATATGCTTGAGCAGGTGAGAAAGATTACAGTCAGATATATCTTATTAAGTCCCTCACTGCCTTTCTTTCACCTGAAGTAAGTGGGTATATGTACTGGCTCTGTTGGTATGTCTGCAGACCTGAACTTGGCCCTGTCGTGTCAGCAGAGCTGTACGTGGGAGCATAAGAAAAGTATGTTTCCCAACGTTGTCAGATATTGCTCCCTCATGTAACTCTATTTGTATCAGGTTGAATTCATAGCAGTTTTCTCTTCTTCATCCAAAATATGCATGATTACCGTTGATATGAAGTTTCCTTTCTTGGCCTCTCTTCTCACCTCTGACTTTCCCATAATTTTTCCCATCTCTTCTTTATACTGCTAAGTTTTTGTTGTTGTTCTATCTTTTTTCTCTTCTTTTTCTTGATCTCCCTTCTCTGCCTCCAGCCTTTCCATTGGGAAATGCCCTGAATCAGGCCACTCAGGTCAATGGTTAGAGACTGAACTGGAAAGGATCTCCTCGCATGTGTGTCGTTTAGATGTGGTGTTGGGGGATATGGTGTAGGGAAGAACGTTGTAGAGTAGGGTTGATGGTTGGACTCGATGATCCCAAGGGTCTTTTCCAACCTGAATGATTCTATGATTCTAATTAGAATGGTTAGAAAGGGAGTCAGGGACTTCTGTCCCCTGCAGTTGGTTCACTGTGTAACTTGTGTGGAAAAAAACAAAACAAAACAAAACAAAACCCAACAATTAAACTGCCATTGCCCAATTTCCCCCATTTATAGAGGGTGAAAGATGATGTTTTGACCAAAGATGCATATGATGAAATTTCTTAGGAGTGTGCAAAATGTTACAATTCTGAACTGCCTGACAAATGCAATTCCTCCGTTGTGTGCAGTCACAGTATTTAATTGTATACAAAAAGCTTTTCCATTTTGGAAATTTATAGCCTACTTATCATGTTATCTGAATGTTCACAGCTGCTCTAGAAGTCACTGCAAGCTTCTGATGCTCCACACCTTTGAATATCACATATTTGGGAAGCGGGATAAAGTATTAAACAGTGTTAAAAACCAAAGTGCTTGATAGGCCTTGTGAGCAGTTTTTGTGGGTGTGCACTGAGGCTGGTGCATGGCAATATTTTAAGTGCACTAAAGCACAACTACCACCAGATATGTCAAAAATCTGTCAAAGTATGAGCTTTTAAGGTCAGCATATGAATAGCAGCCAGTGTCACACAAACAGCCAGTCGCTTAGTTATTGTTTATTGTTTCAGCAGAGTAGGGCAGACCCAAGAGAGAGATAGATGAGGCTTTGTGTGTACTCTAGGGTAGGCACGATGGGTACTTCACCCTGAGCGGGACACATCCTGCTCTTGTTTGCACCAATCTAAGCTGCAAATAAGCTGTGGGAATGAGAGTTCTCTCTGTACTTCCCCTTGGGTAAGTTGCAGTAGCACTTGGCCTTTTGGATTTAGAAATGGGAAATTCCCCATAGACTTAAACATTAATCTAATGGGGTCAGCGAGGGATAAAGACAGAACACCAAGCAAAGGTTTAAAAAGGTCAGTTTTGTAGCCACAGCTGCACTTTTTTGAAGTTGCAGTCACATGGCTGAGTCAACGTAATACTTCCCCATGGTAGCAGAAAAATCTGAGGGCCCTCTCTCTCTCCACCGAGGTTTGTTTGTGCCTCTCTGTCCCTCTCTCTTTTCCCTGGATCTCTCATCTCGGTGTTTGGTTTGTGTCTGTCACTCTAGCTGCTGAAGTTTGTTCCTGAAAAGAGTGATACCGACCTGTTGGAGGAGCATAAACATGAAATTGAGCGTATGGCCCGGGCGGATCGTTTCCTCTTTGAAATGAGCAGGTCTGTTTGATACATTATGGGAAAGTGCACTGACGGCTTCTTGGAAGCAGCTGTAATTGTTATTGAAAATGGATCATCTGGCACTGAGGGGGAATGTGCGAGAGATCGCAGGCCAGCATTATACCCTGCATTTGCCAGAAGCCCACAAATGTTACAAATGTTTCCGTTCATTACAGTAAGTTTTTATTGACGATAAGCACTCTCCGTGCTGTCATTTAAGGACCAGTCCCCTGATGACCAGCAGAAATCTGCCTCCCTCTGCCTAAAGTTGCTCACGCAAAAAGGAATTCAGATCCAGCTATCACATGTAGGGTAGCCAGGGGTCAGGATTTCATATTAGATCCCTTTTTCCATTCAGCTATCCCATCTCCTCATCCTTCTTTCTTGTTTCAACTTTGCTGCAACCCCAATCAGGATTAGCATCTTGTTCTGCTAATTGACATGCAGATGGCATCTCCCATGAACCGTATTTTGAGAGTAATGGGAATTCTTCCAGCTTTTCTTCGGTTGTGATCAAATCATGCCTTAAAGGTCCTCCATTTTCATAACAAGATTGATTATGTAGCATTAGAGGTTTGAACCATGTCTGTAATCCCACCCATAGGCCTTGTGGGGCTCAACGTCCAACCATTAGATTATGTAGGCAGCACACTGGTCTGGGGGGCTTCAAAATACGGTTGCAGTTCAGTGTTGGCTTTCCTCTACCCTTCGTGCAGGATTGACCACTACCAGCAGCGGCTGCAGGCATTATTCTTTAAGAAGAAGTTTCCGGAGAGGCTGGCAGAAGCAAAACCAAAAGTGGAAGGTATGGTTAAAGCTTTTGCTAAGAGTGGGGCAGGGAAGTCAGAGAGGTGTGTCTTCAAAGGAGGTGCTGTTACATGCGTGCTATGGTTGTAGAGCCGGTGACTCCAGGGCATGTCATGTGCTAAGAAATGAATTCTGTCTGACACTCTTCTTGCATGCATTGACTTAATAAAGTCAGTTTTGTGATTGTCATGCTGTAAAGATGACATGACAGATGTCACAGTGTGCTACCAGGCTGTGCTGAGCTGCCAAAACCTTTCTGTGCAAGGCCTTCATTTCTCAACCTTGAGTTTTTGCACCTTCCCTCTCCATGGGGCAGTTAGAAAAGATGCCTCAGGACGGTGGTGTTCTGGGATGGGAATGGGTAACTTACAAGGAGGGGGGTTGTGCAGCTTCTTTGCCACATCCATGGTTATCACAGAGAAGAGATGTGTGTATTCTGCTCTGTATTTCCAAGTTAGCTCAAGCCTTTGCTGGCTGTGCTTTTAGAGTGTGAGGTTCAGGAGAACAACCTTGCCTTCTGATTTCAGAGGAGCATCCTACAGGCTAGATGTAGCGCATCTTCCTTCCAGTTGTCCTAGTTCTGGGCATGTGGGTGAAGGAAGGGGAGAGTACAAACACAGACTGTGTTGCAGCATTTTCTGGGCAATAGTCAGATGGGCATTTTAGGGTACTTCAAATTATGGGTCCAAGCATGTTAAAACCACCACTGTGCAATAACCTGTAATTTTTTTTTTCTCTCTTTTCAAGCCATTCTTCTGGCATCCAAAGAACTCACCCGAAGCAAGCGTTTGAGGCAACTCCTGGAGGTAGTTCTGGCCTTTGGGAATTACATGAACAAGGGCCAAAGGGGAAGCGCTTATGGCTTCAAAGTCTCCAGCCTGAACAAAATTGCAGACACCAAATCCAGCATAGACAGGTAAGCCAGAAGGCTGTAAATGAGTTAGTTACCGTGTTGCTGCATCTCTTATCATAGTAATGAAAGTAGGTTTTATTTGTTTTTAGCTCTGTAGACCATTTAAAGTGATGTCTTATTTGGCATTTGAGTGGTGCTTTTCACTCTAAAAGATCCTGTAGCAGTTGAGACCACCTATTAAAACAGCACTCAAATTCTGCTGTTTCTTTGGGTAATGCACATCTGTTGTTGGATTGTTTCTGCAACACTATGCAAAGATGACAAAATGTAGTATTTCACAAATAACTGCAATAAGTTTGGTGGGGAGGAGGATTTCTATGGAATTTGCCCTTTATACCAAAGTTTTATGGCCATGGTTATGCAAAAAAGCAATCACAAAAAACTCTGACCACAGTTTTATGTCTCCTGTGAAACATGGCATATGTTTCTGCTGCAGGACTGTCATAAACTGGCTCTCTACCTACAGCAGTAATGGAACCAGAAGGTATAGCTCAGAGAGACTGAGCCTGGCTGTATCTAGAGCAGTTAAAGAAAATAGCTGGTTTGGGGAAGGTGGAGCTATTCATGGCCATGGGCTACAGGTCTTTATAATGCTACCCCATGTTTTGCCCCACATCCCCATACTGGTTCTGGAAATTAATCCAGCTGTGACTGGGGAGAGAATACCACTTTTGGGCTCCAGAAGCACTAAGGTTTTCCTTGGAGTACTGGTTCTTACTAACTTGCGTCTTCCTTGACTTGTGAGACCTACTGAGACCATAGTTGTGGTGAAATGACTTTAGACTGTGACAGAATGAATAATGGCAGTAAGAAGCCATAGGAAATTCATCCCTACCTAACAGAGTTTGAACTAACAGAGTTCTGTTTTGACTACCACGATGTCCTTTCCGTATTCCAAGGCTAACACTTGTGTAGCCAGTGTTGAAAACTTTTTTGCCTTAATGTAGCTTAGCTTGATTTTTCCATGTATTAAATGTCCTGTGCATATTCTGTTCTCTCACCAGTCCCCAGCTCCCAGGCTCTGGTCTGTGTGAAGCAGTGGCCATCTGCTGTCTTGCCTGTCAGTTAACCACATAACACCCACCGCGAGTAGCTGTTACGGCTGGCTGTTCTCTCTACATCCAAAATTCATCATCTACTTTGCAAATTTTCTTAAACCTTCTCCTGCATCTCTCACACATCTCATTTCTACTCACTCCTACTGGAGCTGCCATTGCTTTTGTGGTAGTGAGCCTGACCATTACTCAGAAGTATAGCTCTTTCATTACTCTAGGAGTTTTCTTTGCGGCTTCTTCAATCTTCAAGAACCTTTTCCTTTTCTTGGTTAACGCTTAGGTTTTTTCCATATTGCCTCTGAGAACAATTCACTTCTCCCTTACAAGTTAATGTCACTTTGGTACTATTAGATGTTATTCTCTGAAGTATCTGGGGTCAAATAGTATCCTGTGTTACACAATTTTCTTTTCTGTTACACCACCTACACGGATGGAAGGATGCTGCTGCTTCCAGAATAAATGAAGGCAAAATGTATTGCTTGAGGTTTTAGGAAGGATGTTCATAAAGAACTAATTCATTTCAGTCTGTGATACTTTTTTACTTTTTTTTTTTTAATAACAGAGATTCTAACTACAGATACATTGCTCATTTTGTTCATTCAAGCTCATTTCCTACCCAAATATTTTTCACTGATATGTCACAATCCTCCCATCATCCTCTCCTTCTCACCATCATCTTCTTTCTCATTTCTCCCTTCTTTTTTTTTTTTTTTCCTTTTAGGAACATTACGCTGCTGCACTACTTAATTATGATCTTTGAAAAGAATTATCCAGATATCCTAGATATCCAGTCTGAGTTGCAACATCTTCCAGAAGCAGCAAAAGTCAAGTAAGTCTAGTGCTATTTCTTGTTCCCAGAGCTGGAGTTCCCAGTGATTTCAGTTATCTTAATGATCGGTTTTTTAGTGCTGTCTTTTAAACTCATGGCCAGACTTGCAGCTGAAATGCCTTTTCTCACATCCTTGATGTTATTCAGGTGTACATCAACAGATAATTTTGGTCCAAAAACATTTGTGGATAATGAAATTGACAGCTTTACTCAGATACACCTATATCTATTTCTGAATCAGACATTTTAACTGGACTGGTTGTTGTTTGTAACTCGCTCATCATATTCTATTTTTGTTCATCTAAGTATTGTGCTATTTTTTCTGGATAATTGAAGATTTGTTTCTCAGGCAAGGCACAGAGACCCTGTTTCTAATGATCAGGAAGATCATTCAAACTTTTGCACCAATCAGTCTTGCACAAAAATTAGAAAGTGTCATACTTTCAGCACAAATTTCAAATACATTTTTTCCCTTTCTGTTGGTGTCTGTGGAAAATGAATACACATGCAATCCTTCAAAATACCGGCATTTTTTTCTTTCCAAAGCACTGCTCAAAAATACTTTTACATATTTTTTGCCCAGTCATGATTCTTTGTGTAGGGAACTACTCCGGCTAATAAAAGATAAGTAAATGTGGGTTCCCACTTAAAGGCGTTTATTAAGGCTTTAGTGGTGGTTTTGAGATGTAAACTGCTATTCACAAAATACTTGAAGGAGATGCCTGCTGACTCACAAATAGGTACTAACTAGTTACCTGGAAATGAAAATTCTTTTTTTTTCATACAAGTCCTAGGAAAAAACCTCTTGTTTGTATATGATGAGCAGAAGTTCAGTACAACACTTTTTTCTAGGGAAGCATGTATTACCATGAACAGTAGGGTTATATGTTCAGTTAAAATATAAGCTTGCGAGCACTACCATATGGTAGAAATGCAGATGGAAAAAAAAATGTTTGGACTGTGAGCAAGACAAAAATCACATGTAAATATACTGCTAATGGGATTTAGTAGTTAAGTCGTTCAACAATCTCATGTAGATATAATCAGAGACCCCAGTAATGTGTGTGCTAAAGCTGGGGGCCTTGGTTATGTGTCAGCTGATAATTGCAAGCTGGCCACGTGGCATATGCTCCTTGCTGGAGGGTCAGGCTCAGCTCACAGGGCAGATGTTCTGAGGGCAACCCCCCTTTTCTTCCCCGGAAAATCCTGATCTTCAGTTTGACCACAGGCAAGCAGGGTCTGCCTCATCTTACATCTCATACAAAAAGCAGCACAGAGCATTAACAGACCCCCTTCCCCTCCTTTCTAATCATCTGGCGTGGCTGGTGCCAAAGGCCGGATACCAGACTTGATGGGCCAATGGTATGTTCTGCTGCACAGTTCCTGTATTCCTGTGTAACACTGCTCTTTTTGTTTTATCTGCTCTGTGTGTGTCTCCTGTGCAGCCTGGTAGAGCTGGAGAAGGAAGTCAACAACATAAAGACTGGATTGAAAGCTGTTGAAGCTGTAAGTATCTGAAGGTTTCCAACGTGCCATACTTAAAATATCTCACTCAGAATCAAGGGCACTATATATTTTATGATAAGAGAAAGTGGGCTTTCTTTTTCAGTTCCTTTCCATTCCGTTCCAGAATGCATTAACCAAGAAAAAACAAATAAAAGCTTCTCATGTTGAGCTCCTGCTGATGATCTTAGCAGACTTAGGCCTAATGAAAAGCTTGTTTGATCTCAGCCTGGAAAGTAAAAGGACAGTTTGACAAATGGCATGCACTGAAAGAAGAAATAAAATTCTTGCTCTTTCTTACTGAGAGATGGCTGGCTGCTGAACAAGTGTTTCACATGGCTCTTGGAGTAGTAGTAAACTGGTAGTGCACTGTTATATGCAATCCTAACCTATCCTAAGCATTCCTTGGGAAAGCAAAGGAAAAAATAGACTAGTTAAAGATGAGGGAACTGAGTTGGCAAGCAAAGAGACAATGGCATTTTTTTCCTGCTATTAATGAAAGCCTTTTAAACTGGACTTAGGTTGCCTGTGTTCAATTTTTACTTAGGTAGTGCAAAGCCTTCCATCTCAACAGAGAACAGTACAAATGGTGCATTGATGCAGTTGTGTGCACTGAATCATGAGAGTTAAAGATGAGGGATGGGTCTAAATCTCCCTGGAGTCACAAGTTTGTGTGTCAGCTGTGGTTCCCCTACTTGGAAGCCTCCTTTAGTGAATGTGGTGGGTGGGCCAACACTTCAGTCTTCCTGAGGCAGGAGAACACAGAGTGGGACACCATGTTTGGTAGCAGGAGATAGGAACTCTCATATTTGCCTCTTGCCTATGCCATTGTCATACATGTGTGGCTTTGAATAATGTGTTTGCTTCCTCTCTGTGAAATGGCAGCTACGAATACCTATGTCTCACAAGAGCTGATGTGAGGAACGTCAAGTTAGTGTTTGCACAGCAGTTGAAAAAGTAAAGATTAAGAAATTCACTGTATTGTCTCTATCCCTTAACATCTCCCATCATTTGCACAGATAAACGAACGATGACCCTAAGAACATAATTCGCTCTTTCAACAAGTATAGAAACAAAATCCCATGTTCAGGTTGGTGCTGGCATCTCTTGCCTGTTGGATATACCAAGGCAAGGGTAGTGCTGAGAGACAAGGCAGAGGCCTTTGGGACTCAAGAAGGTTCCTGCTGTGTTTAGCTGTTCTTTGCCCTTTCAAAGAGGGTTTTATTAGCCACACTTTTCAGTGTCCCTCTATCTTCAGGATGTTTCACCTGTCTTTTTCAACTCATGTCAGTTTAATACTAGTTCCAGATGGGGAACATTGTGCACTGGGACTGCTGGCAAAGGGACCAGTTGTTGGGAATTGCATTGGGTGGTTTCTGTGCAAGGATTACCTATCTTCAAGGAACTAGCACAGGACCCTCCACTCCTCCTCATCCACTCTGAGACAGACGATGATACTTCATTTTCCTTTCACCTGGCCTGAGTTTGATTCAGCTCTGGAGGCAGAGGAAGGGATCCTTGTCCTGTCAGCAGCCCCCAGTTTGTCTGGCTGTCTCCAGCAGTTTATCATATAATTAGCCAATGATCCTCCTGTGAAAAAAAAAAACAGCTTTCCAAACCTTCTGTATTGTTGGAGTAAGGCAGAATGCAGCAATGAGAAGAGATACTGCTGCATACGTGGAGTGCAGTGTTTGGGAATTAAAAGCACCTGTAAAGGGAAGGCTGACACGGAGTTCATGACATGAAGAGAGGCCCATTTTTGGCTGGGACAGATGATTCCCCTCACTGAAATATAAGTACCTACCTCTGTTTTGCGTTCTGTGTTCATGTCATTTGTCCTTTTGCCTTTACAGCCATTTTTTTCTTTTCTTTCCCATACATGAGTTCCACGGGCAACCTCTCCTCCTCATTCAATCACCATCTTCCCTCCACAGTCTTCTCTCTGCCATGGTATTTTTCATCTGGCGCTGCCAGCACCTCCCAGTCTGCTTGCTCAATTCGCGGTTTTCTGGCGTGTAAAAAGCAGCACTGTAGCAACAATAGAAGATCACTGTCAGGTGGAAGGGGGAGGAGGGGAAGGTGTGATTCTTGATTCCATTCCAATGTGTTCTCACCACAGCCTTGGCTCCAGTGACTAAGAAGTTTCTTCAAGGCCCCTTAAGAATAGAAAGCTAAAAATAGTTTCACAGTCAGATGTTCTTAAAGGTACTACTAACTCTTTGCCTTCCTGGACGTGCAGCTTCTTTGTAAAAATAAGATGTATTTGTTTTCAAGACATGCATGCAGCTGTTGCCTTTGTGTAGGATGCTCCCAGAAGGACAGCTAAGTAGTTCTTGGTCCTCTCCAAATGAGGAAGTGAATTCTGTCAGCAGAGCCCTTCTCTCACATAGCACGGAGATGATAACCACCGCTTGAGAAACAACTGCCATGGCTGAATCATTTCATCTCTCCAGAGACCCAGCAGTCCAGCCCTCTGGGGCAGTGCTAGCTTCTGCTGTTGTGCTGTTATGACTAATATAGACCATTTCTAGAAGATACAGAGGAGTTTCTTATTCTCTGGCATCATGGTTACTTGTGTGGTTTGCTTTTTTTATTTTGGAATAATTATTCTGCAGGGAAGGACTGAATTTGAAATTGAAGGTCAGACCACCTGATCTTAATTTTACTTTGAAAGACATTGCTCTCCGGTAAAGGTCCCAAATGCCATAGCTTTCAACAGTGAGTATGATGACAGAAACGTTATACTCACCTGCTCGGGGAGGCAGGGGAGAACGGGGACAGAGCAACTTTCAGATAAAATTAGTTTAAAAATTAGAATGGGAGAGAGTGGCTGAAAAAAATATGCATAATTCTTAGGAGCATGTGAAGTGATGTCTTCTGTACTTGTAAGTTCCAATTCAAAGTGATTGTAACATAGAGACAATTCATTGCAAAGTGATGTAAGTAACTAGTGCTCCTGGGACTGTCCCTTGTGATGTATTAGGAAAACCAGTGGAGAAAAGGATGTAATATAAAGCAGGGGAAGTAGCACTTCTTTAATGTGGACTTTTCTCCAGCCAGCTGCTCATTGCTTTTCCTGCCCCTTTTCTGCCTTGTAGTCTTTCTTTGTAGTGGTTACATTCTCTTTCCAGCTCACATCAGACCAGAAGATATATCGCATCTGATTTTAGATTGTTGATGGCCAAAGTAATTCTTTGCATTCAGCAGCACTGTGGAGAAAATCCCAAGGAGTTTCTCAGCGTACATGCTTATAAACCTGCCCATTTGGCTCTGTGAACCAGTATTTTCATGACCAGTAACAGAGAGCACCAAACATGCATATAGTTGGAGTTGTAGCCTGCACAAAAATATTTTTTCCAAAGGGAACAGAAGGTCAGATTGTAACTTGACCTGCTGTTTCATGCTGCTTTCCCTACAGAGAAAGTAAGACTTTATCATTCCCACTGATTATCCAGCTGAGAATAAAGATGAGGGACAGATTACAATTTCATTGTCCCCATGAGACTGTCAACTGCATACAAGCCAAGCACAGGCATGGGAGACTGCCAGTCTTACCATAATTTAGTTGTTTTGAGGAGCTCCATAGCTCTTTCAGTGCCACAAGGATGATGAATATTGTAGGGAAGAGATAGCATGGGTAGTCTTGGCTTAAAACTAAAAAAAACTTGAGCCAGAAAGAATGAATCTTACAGTATTTTTTTTTTCTTTCTGTAGGTACTGGAAAAATAGAGCTTTGCTTCCTCTGTGTTTATATCTATCTTTTTTTTTCCCCTCATAAATCTTTTTATCACAGTAGCCTGTTTTTTTATAACTGTGACTTTTATGACATCCAAGCTAATGCTTATTGGTTAGCAGGGTGCTGGCAAATGTTGCACCTGAAATCTTTCTGCTTGTTCTTCAGTAGGAGAACAAATTTAGATATCTTTTTCCTGCCCAACTAGTGTTCTTCAGAGAACTAAAGGTGAGATCCAGAGCTAGGGACTATATAGGTTATTCACACGTACACATTTCCCCAAGTATACAGCCTTTTGAGCCACCGTGGGAAGAGAATACAGAGGGAAACTTCCTATTGAAAATTCCAAATTCACTTGCTACACAATCTGCATTCTCTATTATTTGTCATTCTTCATAGGAACAACACACAAACAAAAAAAGCAGCATTTCATGCACTTGATGCTTAAAGTTGCTTTAGAAATTCAACATATTGATGGCTTTCTTGGGAGTGGTTATTGTTTGAGGATAAAGGGAACTGTAACTGACACCTTCCTTCATCCCACCTTAACCTTCCCTCTCATCCTGAAAAGGCAAAACGTTTGACTTAGTGAGAAAGTAGTTTCTGAGTTACAGCTCTGGATGAATGCATGCGGAGCGGGATCAGAGCATGCTCTGCACTGAGTGAAAAAGATGGACTTCCCTGCTCCCTTTCTTGCCGGCAAGGAATCTTAGATGCTTGCCTGCCTATATCTCTTATTTATTCTCTTTCAGGAACTGGATTATCAGAAGAGACGAGTGCGGGAATCAGGGGACAGGTTTGTTCCTGTCATGAGCGATTTCATCACTGTGGCCAGTTTCAGCTTCTCGGAGTTAGAAGACCTTCTCAATGAGGCTAGAGACAAGGTAAGAATACTTTTTGAAGTGGTTGGGGTTTCACTGGCTCAGTAAAAAGCCTGAATCAAAATGAAAGTAGCAATTTCAGCTGCTGAGACTGTACCAAAAACTACAGAAGAAGGTTCAATGCTCTTGCCCACTTCTTGCTAATCTTCCTTAATGTTATCCGTGTGTGGCATAGAATTGTGATGGCAATGTCTGTACCAGGATAGCACACTGTGCCATGGTGTGAAAGGGACAGCCTTTAAGCGGCCTCTCAAAAAGAGGTCCTTTGGTGATTAATGATTGTGACCTCATATCTTTTACCTTCTGCTTCTGACTTGATCCTGCTCTGCTCATTCAGCTGGGAACATTTGTGCTTCATTTCTTTCCTTTAAAAACTCACTTCTGGGTCATTTGGTAACCCTGAATACGTGATATTTTCCACTTAGGCTTCTCTGTTACTGCTTGTATTTCAATGCAAGGATAGAAATCCCAAAAATGCATGGTTTGTCCGATGTTCTTGGATCCCTCTTACACAGCCAGCATCATGTGTGTGTTAATCTTCAGGTGATGCTGTGATCATTCTGTCCTTTCACTGTCTGCACCTCCATTCCCAGATTTGTACAACTGAGGAGGAGCGTGGTCTTTGCTGATGATTGGAGTCTGGCACTAATCCCTCTGCCTCTCAGCTGAATGAGGAAGAATTTATATGAAAAGATCATAAGCATATGAAAATGTTTAGAGAAGAGCAATGTCTAAAGTAAACGATATGTAATGGCAAATCTTCCCTTGTTGGCTGGCATGTTAAAAGTGCTTGGCTTTATGAAGCAAATGTGTTATTTCTTTTGGATTGAATTGTTTCCACTGCTAGTGTCAATCCTTGCAGTGTTAAGGGACCTATTGCATTATTAATGAAACCTGTGCTGTTAGGTTGGTAGGCCTTAGATTTTGAAGAATAGACAAAATGCAGGCTGAGGCTCTGAACAGTAAGACTCCTCACTCATCCAGTGGCTCTGCAGCAGTGTCATGCTGTAATTCAAAAGAATTTCCTTGCTGTGGAGATAAAGTCAGTAATATGGATATGCAGCTGCAAACACCAGGGGCTACTGCTTGTCAGCTAGAGGTAGCTGCCCTGGCAAATGCCAGTGGGCCAGTAGTTGTTATGACACTCAGAAAGCAAAGCTGAGCAGTCTAACACTTATTAATTTTGTAAGGAAATTTTGTTGAGAATAACGTGTCTAATTTTTTCATTGTTCTCATGTTGCTTGAGAAGATTCAAACCAATTCCAACATAATAATGTTTACACCACACTGACTTTATAATCACAAACCCAGTATTTTACATTCTATCCTTCCACTAAATTTACTGAGAAAAGTTCAGTTTTCTATGGTTTGGGGGCTTCTGTTTTATGACAGGATAAATTTTTTGCCTTCTTATAGTTAGGTGCACATTTCTCGAAGCAAATTCATTCTGTCCTTGGCTTAGAATGCCCAGTTTTCATTCAGTGTTATAGATGGTGGTCCTTCTTTTGGCACAGTAGGGCAAAAATTCCAATGTGGTTTCTTTACAACATCAGTCAGGGGTTAAAAACCAACAAGTGGTACATGTCCAGCACTGCAATGCAACTTTTCTTGATCAGGCACTTGCAGGAAAAGTACCGTTCTTTTGCTTTAAGAATAACCAGAGAATCTCCCTACAGACAGACCAATATGTCTGGAAGTTGTTGCGCGCTTTTTTAGACACAGCCAATGTAAAGCACTCGACATAAAGAGATGTTTTATTTTAATGACTATAACATGCTTAGGAAACATTTTTCTACCTTCTCCTAGCACACCCTTACTATGTTTGAACATACGCTGTTCCAACTTCTGCTCAACCTATGGCTTTGGTTCTTCCACTGGCAAAAAGCTGCTTTTGGACTCCTAAAAGGGAACTGTCTGTCCTTACCAATACTGAGCTATTTCTCATGTTTGCCTCATATTATTTTTCCCCTTTCTTCTTGCTCTTTTTCCTCTTTTTTCTTAAAAAAAAAAAAAGAAAAGAAAGAGAGAAAGAAAGCTGGAAATTTTCAACTAACCAGATGTGCTTTGCAAGCCCTGTAACATCTTCCAACCTCAATGGGCTCTCTGTTTGTTGAATCTTTTTTCTTGCCATGGAAACCTACAATATTAGGTTTATTAGCCAATTAAAGGAAGAGAGGGACCAAGACATCTGATTATCCTGTTCTTTTTTGATTTCTCAAAGCAAAGCAAATTGAAAAAATGATAGTGGGAGAGAGAGGACTTTTAAAAATATCCTAATGAGCCCAGGAAGAATTGGTCTGGTTCACAGATTTATTAGTAATAATGAAGCCCTAGTTTTAACAGCTGGAGTTGGATATCCTTCTAAATATAGATGTGGCTAATTGATTGCCATGAGTTAATCAGAACCACATTTTCTCAGCTGGGATTTAAAACAATACAAATTATCTTCTCAAACTTGGGAAGTTTTTTATTTTTTTAAATGTCTTTAGTATTAGCAACAGTCATTTCTGTATTCCTTTACATTATGGAAACAATCCACTACCAAGGTGTGGTGCTGACCTCTGTAGAGGATATTTTTCACAATCCCATGCAGTACTTTTTTTTGGCCTTTTTGCTTAAACAGGACCATATACAGTTACTGGCCAAGGGGAGGAAGTGATATTTTAAATTTAAAGGGCCAGGCTGTCAAATGCAGGCATCCATGTTTGCAGAGGAAGCCTTGTAAGTGTACTTATCTTCATGCAGTAAACAGATGGCTTGGTTAAGAACTGATTGAAAACTTAGACCGATTCTTTAAACAGGCTCCCTAGCACAGCTGGTTCTTGTTCTTTTTGTGTTTTTCTCACTTTCAATGCCACTTTATAAGGGAATATATAGATTAGATCAAGGCATAATGTTTTCTGCCATTTCTCCTAAACTGGAAAGTGTGGGCAGAAGAAAGTGAAATTCTGCCCTGGAATCCTTCGCCAATTTTTGTGTGTTCGAATAGATGAAAAATTGACTTTTTCACATCAAAAAGAACAGAACGTGGTTGAATTTTGTTTGTGAAAATTTTTCTCTGGGGGAAAGAATAAAAATACCCAGGCAGGGGAATAGTGATCTCCCTTGGTATGAATTCTGTTATTCTACTTGAAAAAGGTGACATTTGCCCTATATGAAGCTACACAACATACTTAAATGTTGACAGGTATGAACTTAGATTGGTAAACTGTTTCACAGCTGTTCTAGTTTGTGCTTGAATTATAACAAACCTGAATCATAGAATCATAGAATGGTTAGGGTTGGAAAGGACCTCAAAGATCATCTAGTTCCAACCCCCCTGCCATGGGCAGGGACACCTCCCACTAGAGCAGGTTGCTCAAGGCCACATCCAGCCTGGCCTTGAACACTTCCAGGGATGGGGCATCCACAACTTTCCTGGGCAGCCTGTTCCAGTGTCTCACCACCCTCATAGTAAAAAATTTCTTCCTGAGATCTAATCTGAATCTTTTTTCTTCCAATTTAAACCCGTTTCCCCTTGTCCTATCATTCCCCTTCCTGGCAAAGAGTCCCTCCCCAGCTCTTCTATAGGCACCCTTCAGATATTGAAAGGCCGCTATAAGGTCTCCCCAGAGCCTCCTCTTCTCCAGGCTGAACAATCCCAGCTCCCTCAGCCTGTCTTCATAGGAGAGGTGCTCCATCCCTCTGATCATCTTCGTACAAAGTCTGCTTAGTCAGGTATTGCCAGTCCTATGATGAATATCAAACTTAAGCCTCTCTATAGGCAGTGGCAGAGAGGAGGCCACTGCCTGGGCAAGGATGATGAGGAGGGTAGGCAAATTGTCATCCCCAGTTTTTCTCATGACAGCTCCTCTCCAGCAGGGTGTTTATCATCACAGAGATGGCAGTTCAGACTCTGCACATGTATTTAATAAGCTTAGCACATATAGTTACTGTTTTGAAGAACAGCAAGGCAGTGAAAGCCAAAAGCCATTTAAGAAAATAGTCATTAATGGCAGAATGCTGTGAAGCACACAGAAATACTGGAGTCCAAGAGCCAGGTATAGGCTGTGCACTTCAGTAATTCGGTTTGGGGAACCAGTATTTTCTGTCAGCCACCAGGGCTAATGAGTAAGGAAGGGATCAGGATAGAGACTAAGGGAGTAAGATGGGGTGTGTTACAAAGGACATGGGCAAGCACCACAGACTGCTGTCAGAAATAGCCATTTGGTAAATAAATAAAATAGCTGTTGTACGCCAACCTACAACCGCAGATGCTTTAGGGCAGGTTAGCATCTAACATATCAGAAATGTTTATAGGACCCCTATCTTGATTTTGGGCCTGACAGAGTCACTTTCAAACTCCGAGGAGAATCCTATAACAGTGTTTAGGTGCAAGGAGAGCTGGGCCCAGCCCTCCCTGAAATCAGCCAGGCTACTTGTCTGAGGAAGACAGTTCATGTTGCACGGCTACATGGTGTAATTCATTTCTGCATTGGCTCTTCCCCCAATAGCAGACAGGACAGACAGCAGGAAATTTTTATCATGGCTGTTTTTCCTCCTCCTCATAGAGCGCCGGTCCTGCCATTTCCAGAGCTCTTCTGCCACTGTTTAACATTTCGTTGGCAAGCACAGCAGAGAGTGTGCGCGCTGCTGTCCCGCTTTCCTTCTCCTTGCTAAAATGGCTTTTTAAAATAAACAACTGTCTAAATGATTTGCTTTGGCAAGAGGATGAATTCAGTGGAAAGTTTGGCAGAGGAAGCGGAGCTGGCACTGATCTCATGGACCTGTTATATCATGGAGCTCGGGGGCCCTTATGGTGTGGAAATGAATTTTTTTAATGAAAAAAAGAGGTACCATCCTGTATTACAGTGGAAAACCTGCTGAAACACAGTTTTCCATCTTGCTTTTGCCCATGTCCTCTGTCCCCAAATGACTTCAGGAATAAGTAGGTTGACCTTGTTCCACGATATTACAGCATGTCACAAAATCCTGGGAAGAGTTTTGCGTGCATGAGGAGGACTTAGCTACAGATTCCACAATTGTGCACAAGAGCAGGTGCCGTTTGCTGGGGAATCTCTCCATGGAGCAGTTGGGTGGTTCATGCAGGGTGACACAAATCCTGCGGCAGAGAGCAGAAGAAAGGGCTGGGGTCCTCCAGAGCACCTCCGTCTGCCCCGAGTGAGGCAGACACTGTGGTTTCAGCCGCTGTGAGCAGGTAGGAGCCCTGAGTTTCGTACCACGGCTGTGGAGGCTGCATGACAGCTCGCTGCCTCTCGTCCCAACACCGGTGCTTTGAAAAAGTACACACGATTGCAGAACCAGAGCTATGGGAAAGAGAAGTAGTAATAAAAACAGAGGGATCTGCTGCATTTTAAGCTGTGAAAAGACAGCATGGATCTCTTCGCAATAGTGCATTGAATTGATGTAGCGCCCTACAGATGTGAACAACTGATTTTTTGCCGTTTCCTATGTCAGATTAGTGGAGCAACACTTTCTGTTCTGTAATGAATGGAGAAAGGCAGGCTCAGAGAAGGGAGCATGAGTTCTGAAGCCACATCATGGGCAGAGTTGGCAGCAGAGGCTGGATCTCCTGACTTGCCACCTTCTGCTCAGTCAGCTTTTTTCTGGAGGCGGTAGAGAAAGAAAGAAAGTGGTTATTTCAGTGAACTGCAGATTTCTCTGTTGTAGTTATTTTTGTACATCTAGCTCACAGATTTTTGCTTTTCATCTTTCAGTGCTTTACAGTAAGTGATTGTGACCTACTAAGCCATGTTACAGGGCACCAAAGATGGGCTGTTCTCAGCCTTGTCCTCGCTACAGACCATAACACCTTATACTCATGAGTGTCTCTGGAAAGTTCCCAGGTTGCTGTGTCTTTCCAGCACAGCAACACCGTTCCTTCTCTGAGTGGCAGTGGGGAGGCAGTGGCAGTAGCCCCTCTGCCAGCGTGACAAGAACTAGCTGCTGCTGGTAGTTGGGTGATAGGCCACGTATAGAAGATTTGCAGACAACACCACCCTCTAATGGAGACTTCCATGTATGTAAGATCCAAGAACCCCAAGCAAGGACCCCCTCTTTTTCAGCCCCCAGCTTCCCTAGGAGACTAGGAAACCCCTGTGGGCATTCATGGGCTCAAATCCACTTGGATACTGTGTGCCCCGTCATTCACCTTTGCTATGCACAGGAGGAATGCAGGGGATGAGGGCAGTGCAGCTCTTGGAACAACAGCCATCTCCTGTGGGCTGCCCCTGGACTTCAGGCTTCACAGGGGGCTGGACAAGCCTTCCTTCTAGATAGCAGGTCTTGTTGCTGTTCTTAATTTGTGCCTTATTTTCAATTTTAACGGGAATTAGCCACAAGTTAAATGGGAAGAGTTTCCAGGTAGCACATCTCCTGTGAGCAATGAGCTTCAGGTGCTCTGTGTGCTCAAGCAGCAGTGGTAGTGCCTGTGCTGAAGTCTTTCTCTGGCACTTCTGCTCCCCTGGCTGACTGGCACGCGGAGCAGGCAAGCAGAGAAAATATAGCACATGGAGATGCTTTATCTCCCCCTGTGGTATTAAGAGCCCATATTCTCTCTGCTAAAGAGCTGATGCTGTTCAGTCTGGATTAGTGCGAGACTGCTGCACCTTCGTAATATTCAAGCAGACTGTGTACCTTATATACAGAGAAAATAGATATATATATACAGAGAGGGGTGGGGAAAGGGAGTAGGTGTTCATACTTATGTGTATGTGTCTTCAGAGGTTTCAGAGAAAAGGAGTTAAAAAAGAAATAATCTGTTGCTGTTTCCATACTCTGAAGTCTCTCTATGACTTGGTGCTGTAGTGCTTCCTTCAACTCCTGCCATGTTTGGTAGCTCAAAGCAACTTGCATTTCTTCCAACACTTTTTTTTTTTTCCCCCAGATACTTTGGGTTTCTTTGTTTGTTTCTGGCTGAGAACGCAGCCTTTTTAAAGAAAAAAGAAGCTATTGCTTCAAACTGCTTTGTGGGCCTGGCAGGGAAAGCAGAGGAGGAGAAATGCTGAATCTCTCAGGCTGTGCCAGAAGGAAGCTGCTTTCCTTGGAGATTTCTTCCCCCTGCAGTTGACTGGGAGACATTGTTTATGCTTTACATGGTACAGGGCCAGAGGGGTTTATAAGACCTACTTCCAAACTCATTTTTACTTGGGATTGGAGCCTGAACTAATCTTACTGTCTTTTCCATTCTGTAAGAGCACCCAACTAAGGAAAGGGAAGCTGGGCTCTGTTAGTGTGAGCTGAATACATGCACAGGAGAGTTTGAAGGCAGTCCATAGCCTGGGAGCATCTGGGTTTGGTTTGGTAAACGTTGAGGTCTGTAAGGATGCTCTGCTGGTTAGTGGTGGTGTGTTAAAGTGCTGTCAGGGTATGCCAGGGCAGCTGTGCATCAGGGCACCAGGGCCATCAGGAGTGTGTTGCTGGTGCTGCCTGTTGCAATACAGAGGTGCATGAGTGAAGGTAGTTGGACAATGGTACTGCTTTTGGATGTGTACACTTGTATAGGACTCAGTGGACATGTGCATACATGCTGTTGACAGACTGTATGTACATGCATTTAAGTGCGTTTTGGTGAATTCAGAGACACGCTTGTGGGTGCAAGAGAGCAAAGAAGAGAGTACAACTGCTGCAGGACTGATGTCCAAGAGCCAGGGGTTGCTGTGAATTTACCATATCCCAATCAGGACTGCCCTGTGACTGAAGTCCTGCCAGTTGGCTGTCTCCACTTGCATCCTGCAGCCTCAACATTTGCCTTTTAAAATAAAAGCCACTTGTGATGTATTCACTCTCTTTTAAGTCTGCCCGGGAGCCCTGGCTGCTTTCCTTGTCCCTCTCTCATGCCATGTCTGTCCATAGTCTCCTCTCTCCCAGGCAACACCCTGACTCAGAGGACTCCAGAGTGATGGATGACATGGCAAAGGGCTCCTGAGAAGACAGACTGTAGTTAAAAACCTTCTAACTCCAGACATTTAAAATGTGTATTTGAAGGGAAGGTGGAAGAGGAAAGGATGGGCTAAAGCTACTTGTTTGGTAGTTAGGATGGACTAAAGCTACTTGTTTCCCCAGCTAACTCACTGTCTTCCATGCTGCTGCTGTCCCACAGCTGCAGCTGAGATGTGGCCGGATGGTTGTCCTCTGAAATTACCCTCAGGCATTGAACGTGAGGCGAGTTTTAATAAGCGGGCAGCTAGTGCTCTCCAGCACGGTGGAGAACAGACTCCTCAGGGGAAGAGGCACCTGCCTTTAAGGCAAGGCACTTCTGTTGCCGGGGGGTAGTTTTCACTCTTGCTGCATGAATGCTCAGAGGGTATTGAGTTACATGTGTGGTTACCCATAATCTTTCCTCGCTGTCTTCACCAAACTGCCTGCCTAATTACTGCTCTTGTGTTTTCTGCCCCTTTGACAGTATGCCAAGGCACTGAAGCATTTTGGAGAGAGCGAGGGCAAGATGCAGCCAGATGAATTTTTTGGCATCTTCGACACTTTCTTACAGTCGTTTGCAGAGGCCAAGCAAGATCTGGAGAATATGAGGAAGAAAAAGGAAGAAGAGGAGCGCAGGGCACGCATGGAGGCCATGGTGAGGACCTGGGCACAGGAAGGTGTTTCCTTCCACTGCCTTTTACATCTCAAGAGAACAGCTGAGATAGCCAATTCCAATGCTCACATCCTGTCACTCTTTTATGTCCTTCTCCCTGCCACCTCTCTGTGGCATCATTCTCTTCACAAATTATGACTTTTTTTCCCATTGGCTGTCCTGTCAGCTCTCATGGGCGTACTGTTTGTCTCCTAAATTACCCTCTCTTCGATTCAGATACCAAATCCAGCCCCGCCTATTCTGCCCTGGCACTTTGCAGGGGAGTGCTGTCCCTGCCCAGTGCCACACTACCCTGATTTTGGGCTGCAGGCTCTGCTGAAAAGCTCTGGGAGTCAGATCTCCCTCGGTCCTGCCAGCTGGTCAGTTTCCACTCAGACTCCATCATCATCTACTGTGTGCCTGTAGCCTGACAGCGCATGGTGACACAGCGAATGCCCTGGCGCCTGCTGCAGCCCACACTGGCAGTATTTCTCTCTGGCCAGCCTTAATGGCTTGATTACTGGGGCTGCATCTGGCCTTGACGTGGCGAGAGAGCTTTTGTGCATCGTTCATTTTGCTTCTGGGAGACAGACATGTGTGTCCCCAGGGGTTCATGTGAACCAGCCTCCCCCTCTAACCTCAGCCTTTCCTGAGGCCCAAGAACGGCTCCGCAGTCCTTGCCTCCTTCCCCCCTGGCTGCCGCCATGGCCCCAGGCCTCGCTGTGGGGAGTCGCTGCTTTAAAAGTTTGCTGTGCCAAAAGCACCTACTTTGTGCTTTTCAGAAGAGGAGAGAGAGGTACAATGCCAGGATGCCAGCTACCTTACTGTTGGACACAGGGATAAAATGCCAGGACTTAGGCTCAAGTTTCCTCTCAGCCAGTCTGGAAAGTGCAGGCAGCTGCTGTCAAAGCACTAGGATGGTTTCATAGGCCTAATACACCATGAGAAAGGTTGCAGTTTGCTTATGGAAGGCAATGTGGTCCTGCAAGATGGGGCTTGCAGGCAGAGCAAACGGCCCGCTTCCTGTCAGCTGCATCCATCCCTTGCCATTTCCACTAACCTTGGCGCTGAGCAGTGGAGGGGGATAACCAAGCTCCCTGGAGCTACTCTAAGGAGACCCGACGGCAACACGTTGACAGGTGGACCTATCCATTGGTTTGTAAAATCAGCAGTTCTGTTTCATTGCTATTTGTGTTTCTGACCAGTTTGTCTTTCCAGAGTCAAGGCAATGTGCCTTCCTCTTCCCATCACTGCAGCATGCTGCTTCTGTCCAAACATGGGCCGTTTGGCGGATAGAGTTTCCGTTGATGTTTTGATATCTCAAACAATTTTCATTCTGCAGTGTGTTTAGCTTGTGGCTTTCTGTGGTTTTTCCTTTCTTCTTTTCCTCCTTCTGCGGCCTGTCTGCCTGTCAATTTAGCTAGCTATGCCCCAAGGGCAAAGCTCTTTGTGACTGTAGTAGTGACCGTGGTTTGTACAGACACATCCAGACTTAATGTTAAACTGACTAGGTTAGGCACAGTCACCATAGCAGTTGCTGCCACACTAAGATCACTGCAACCCTGGTCCCAGAAGCTGGGTAATTACCTGTGCCAGCACCCCTTGTAGACTGTCATTTGGCACAGCTACTCTGATGGCACTGTTCTACTGTAAAATTAATGCAAAACAGCAGCAGCATAGACAGATCCCATGTGTCCTCTTTGCTCCAGAGCAGTAGTGCTTTGTGAGGCAAAACATATGATGCTACTCATTCCTCATCTTCTGCTTTCTGCTTGCCTGTGCCGAAGAAGAGAAACCCAGCATGGTTGCCTGTTGCTCTTGGCACAGGTGACGGCCTTGTGGATAAGTTCCTGATCTCTTTTTTTCCCTGAACTGTTCTGATGCATCTTAGCTGCTTCTTGGCAGCATACATAGTGATCTGGCATCTCGGTTAGCTAATCCTAAAGCTCTGTATCTTTCTCCACAGCTAAAAGAGCAGAGGGAAAAAGAGAGACGACAAAAGAAAGCAAAAGCTGGAAGCATCTCTGAAGAGAGTGGGGAGTTTGATGACCTGGTGTCAGCATTAAGGTCGGGTGAAGTCTTTGACAAAGACTTATCCAAGCTGAAGCGTAACCGCAAGCGTTCGGGGAACCAAGGCTTAGAGACAAGCCGGGAGCGGGTGGTGACAAAGCTAAATTATTAATTACAAGAAGAAGAAAACTAATCAACCAAAAGAAGGTGACAAAAAAGTGCAAAACAAGGAAGATGAATGTGCGTGATGGCGCCTGGCTGACAGTTGCCCCAAAGGATTTCTTTTCTTTGGTCTGTGGCTAGAGACGTTACCTTTCCATGATCAGCTTTGCTCTCATCCCTCTTCTGTACTCCTAATTCAAACCGTTGAAAAAGTGCCTCTGTGGAGCCAGCAGGGCCTGTGACTGGGCCATGTACAGCTGACAGATTTGCTTCTGGGAGTTTATTGTGTCATCAGAGACCTCATGGTGATGACAGAAAGTACTCAGGCCTTGCAGACAACTGCCTCACAGCTGGAGAGAGATAATTATCTGTGTGCCAAAATGAAAACTAGTCATGATCTCCATCTTGCTGATAACAAGCAAGACTAATTTCCAAGCAGCTCTGTAAACACCTGTCGCTTCTTCAAGATCCACTCTGGCCTTCAGGAGCTTGTCAAGACGTGGTTCTCAATGTTTCCAGTTCCCTTCCAGAAATGGATATTATAAGCCATTGATTAGCACATGAAAAATGCTTTTGATCTCATGTTCTGAATAGTATTTCTGTGTGACCTACACTGTCCAAAGCAAGCGATGCTCAGAAGGAGGTAATCAGGTTCTGGAGCACACTGAAATTCAAGAATCAGGATCAACATAAATACTCTGCAGAAGTCTTTTGGATTCTGCCTTTCTAGAAGCAGTTTTCTGGAATTTCTTGATAGTTGAGCCTCGAAGCTACAAAATGCATCTTCTAAGAGAGAAGCCCTGGCTTTTCTTTAGAGTACTAAGCCATTGTCAGGTTGGAATTACAAGTAGATGAGCGTGGAGCCTGTTGTCATTGCTGGAGCATGGGAGGGGAACAATGGAACATTTCTAACCTGTTCGTGCAAGATTTCTTAGTGCAGCCCAATGGAAATCAGGAGCTCCCTAGTATCATTCACAGGTCACAAGTAGCAAAAAGAAAACAGGGTCGCTGGCTGCAAGAAATGAGATTTGATGCTGGCTGTGATTGCTGGTGGCATGAACTGATCTTTCTGTCTAACAGGCTGATCTTCACTGCACAGACCCCACTCCTACCTAAGGGAATCGTGTAACTCAGTAAAATAGGAATGGTGTCAAATGAGAGCCTTGGAAGCCACAACCTTTTTCATTTTGAAGGGATCACTTGGGATGAATCAATGGAGAGGTCTCATAATGAGAACTGAGAATTCTTCCAGGAGGACACAGAATTGTGTAAGCCAAGCAGGCTTTGGAGATGGTTTAATTCATAAGAAAAAAACAAATTTGTATTTAAGCTACAAATATGAAGCTCACAGCGAAAAAGCAAAAACCCCATAGCTTTTTTTCCGCATGGAAAGGGATTGGATTGTGGGGCTGTCATGGGCTGGTTTTGTTTGGGTTTGTTGTTTTGTTTTTTTTTAATCTTGTCTTCCTTTTTTATTATCTTCCCTGGAGAATGAAAAGGTGATGTATTCTTCCTCTGAGACAGGAAGAAAAGAGACAACGTTTGAGAAGAGGGACACACCATCTATAAACTATGCAGCAATAGTCAACAGCACAAAATGTCAAGGAATCCCAGGGAAGTGAAAAAAGCTCTATTTGTCACTTAAATAATTTGGTTTGATTTTTCTCTGAATGTCACTTCAGGCTCTGCACCAAGTCTGCAGAACAGAACTTCCTCTGCCATGCACGCTGCCAGATCAGTATTACACGCTACCGATATTGGAGAAGCAAACTGTGGTGGTTTTCTGAACACTTTGAGAGTAAAATAATTATGTAAACTATGGAAAGAAGCAAAAAAGTCAGAATTGTTAAACTCTAATGTTTCTTTGTTTACTGAATTTGAGTCTCCCACCCTAGAATTTCCCTATTTACGACATTCCAGACTGCCGCGCCTCTGTATAATACTCATCGTAAAGAGCTGGTATCTTACAAGAGCTGGGTGCATTCTCCTCCCTCACTATCCCACTCCCCTTCTGGGATTAGCTATTAACAGCAATGCCCATTGCAGCGGACACAAGCACCTTGTAGAAGAAAGACTGTATTTCATAAAGGTTTTTGAAAGTTGAAGAAAAACTCTCACTTTTTTAAGCATTTTTATTTTAAATTACAAAATGGATTTTAGAACTGTCTCTTGTAAATTATATTAACAAGCTCCTTGCTGCTCCCTGAAGTAGACATGCTATATGCCAGCCCTTTTTGTTTGTCTTGTTTTAAAGCATGCCATATAGCCTATGCCATGTAAGCCATATGAGAGGTGGTAATATGTGCCAAATTGGTATACAATTGAGTTTAGATTTGGATAATCCCTGACTTCCAAAGATGATGCTTTTAGGGATTAGAACATTGTAGGTTTTTTCCCCTCTGTTTTTTTTCTCCCTGGGTTTAGGACTCACCCAGAAATTCAGGTGTAGTGCCAAGGTCAGCTCTGGTGCAAGTTGATGTGACTGTCCAGCTTATGGCTGCTTGCTCACTCCCCAGGTACTTGTTTGCTGAGGCAGACTGTCAGCATGGCAGTGCTGTCAGAGAAGAAACACCTCAGGGCAAACCCCTTGAATATAAATACAGCATTCCCCCCCACCCCCGGTATTTGTCAAACCAGGTTTGTGCTGTGCTTTTTTCAACTGAAGTCACTTTGCTAGGCCACAAATGTAGCAAAAGCAGAGAGAGTGATAAGCCCTCTGTCCATTTGTGTATACAGTTCAACCCCGATTTAAAGAGATCCTGTATGAAGGTACACGGCGCTCAGGCCACTCTGACAGTCTGTAAAGAGAGCTGCTGTAGTTCTGCCACCTCCCTGACTCAGGCACAAACAGTGAGAGATTGTGCAACTCCTGTAAATCAGCTGTGGGTTACTTACTGGGATGGACAGAAAGCTCAAAGTCTCGCCCCTAATTCATTGCAGCTCAACTTTCTCAGCACTTCAGTGCCCAGACCCCTGTCTTAATTTGTGACGGTGGCTGAAGGCTTCACTCAGCATGCTGGACAGTCCACCCTGGCTCTTGACTCCATGGTGAATGTTCATAAAGAGGGGTTTGGAAAAGCTTAGTTGCACACTGAGACAAGCAGTGGTGACAAGCGAAGAGGTGCATTAGTAAGTCTACTGAATGAGATGGGGCTGGTCACACAGAAGATAAGGAAAAAAGTTGGCTCTGCTTTAGGGCCTGGTGTCAGATTCTTGCTGAAGCCAAGTTGGTCCTTTTTTCTCATCTCTTGGGTACTGTGAGTGCATCTATGCTTGGTTCTTCATCAGCAGTTGTGGTAGAGTTGCTAAGAACTGAAGGAGAAAGGAAAATCTTATCCCTTGTCCTCTAGTGCTAGCAGAGCCTGAACAGGTAAGCAAGCGGTTGTGAGGTGTGACATTGAGGCATAACCTCTTTATCACACTGAGAGCTGGAGAAGAGCTAGGGTCTGCTGTTATCCTTGCACTTGTGCCCAGCACCAGCATGAAATCACTCTGTCTTTGGAAATAAGTAGAGGAGGAGGAGATGTAAGAAAGAAGGGTATAATCGAGGGCTTGCTCTGCTTCCTGCAGAAATCTAGTTATTGCTAACTTTATTACAATTTCTTCACACCTAAAAGAGAAGGTACTTTCTAACTCTCCAGACTTTGTCCCTAGAGGTCTAGTGCTTGCTCGCTCACTCACTCACCTCTGTGTCTCTGTGTTGTTCTTAAGCAGGTTGCATTAGGATGATCTCAGAAAAGACTGAAGAACTCTCTCTCCCTCCCACTCCCTTTGGTCTGGGTCACTCTTCTCAGTCAGTCTTAAGTCTCTGGAAATGCTACAAGGTAAAGTGACTTCAGGGCAGCTAGGCCTTTCCGTGCCCTGCAGCACAGCTATTGTCTGGGCACCAGTTCCCTAGGAGAGCAGAAGTAGGACTAGTGTTCATGGGTGAGAGACTCCCAACGAGGGAGACTTACCTGAGTGTCCTTCAGAAGCATTTCTGTAACGTGTTCACGATGTCTGAGGAAGGGAAAGGAATCGCGAGGGGTCCTGGTGGGAGACTGTGGGGCAGGTGTTTCCGTAACGGTCAGCCCCACTGGCCGAATCTTCCCTTTTCTTTAGGAAAGCTCACACTGAGCTGGGTTGCATGGGAGAAGCTTGTGTCAGGAGTTTCCGTGAGGGGAAAGGAGATCAGTTGTACAGTTGATGATGTACATGATATATGCAGTTTTGTTTATGGGTTGGTTGTTTTGGGCTTCTTTTGTTTGTTTGCTTGTTTGGGGGTTAAATGATTTTTTTAAAAAAAGGTTTTAGGAATCTCTAAGGGGAACCTGTAAATCTGACACCTCTATTTATTTTGCCTTATTTTAGTTTGCTATGTTTGTATGTATACACTGCATTACAGCAAAGACTATTGAGACCGTGCCAGGGCATTACAGCGGCCAGACAGCCGGCTTGGCTATTGAGCAGCAAGCTGAGCACAGGGCAAGGGGATGCGGGTGAGCAGGCTTGGTGTGAGAAGGGAGGGAAGGAAAAAAGCTTTCCTTTCCCTTTTGTCATAATCACTCTGCCCCTGGTGATCCTGGTTCTGGGAAAGCATGCATTTTAAAGCATGTGGTGAATTGATGCAGGTTGGTTATTTTAAAACACTTGCTATAAAACCTGTTTATTTTTCATCAAGTTAAGCTGCACAGTTGCTCATTCAAACTTCACCCTTCCACACAAGTTCTGTCCATGCCAGAGAAGCTTGGATAGATGGGCAAAAGCGGTTCATGCCCTGGAACTTCTCACCAGAGTTAACACATTGATGAGACAAACTGAGACAGTTCTCCTTCCTCAGAGCTAATATTCTTTCCTATCTTCAAGGCCAAGGAAGAAGGATTTCCTCTACTTCCCCTCTCTCCTCCACCCCACTTCTCCAGATTATTCAGGATAAAGAAAAATCTTTCCACTGGTTGGTTTTCTACCAGTGGAATCTCTAGCAATCACCAGGTGTTTGGCCATGGCTCCTTGACTTCTCTACTCAATGTAGGAGATTTCTGGTTGCCTGCCATCCAGACAGGTAGCCTCCATTGGCCACCTTAGCTTCTGTTATCAAAGGTTGAAGAGGCCAACCTGGGTAACACGATTTGGCCAAGTGAAAATATAGAATTTATATATGTGTGTGTATATATCTAAAAAAGCTATCTACTACTCTAAGTAGTAGTTTTGATGGCCAGTATCCCCTGAAGTTGGTCAGATTTTGCTTGCTGTGCCTGCTGAGAAGGATGCCATTAGCATAGCGTGGTGTTTCAGCATCTCGTTTCATGAGAGAGTCTGGATGCTTCCAAACCAGAGTCTTGTGTTACTGGCAATAATGTAGAATAGATCCACTGTAACCAGTACAAGTTTCTCTGGGTTTACACCAGTGTAATTCAAAGCAGCATCTGGATCAAAACTCTCCTTTAGGCAGTTTCATCTTTTACAAGATGCTCCATAGAGCTCATGAAGGGCTTTCAGCTGTTCACCACTAGAAGCTCTCACCCAACTGAACTAGACAAGCCATTTTCCCCTTTTCATGCTTGCCCTTAACCAGGCTCTTTAAAAACCTTTGCAGTTTTAGAATTGTAAGGGGATGTCAGGTACTTGAGCCACTCCGTGCTCAGCCCCTCCCTTCCAAACCATCCTCATTCTCCTCCCCTTAGAGCATGCTCAGCTTGACTCCTGCAGGTCACTTTGGGAGGTGCCCCTGCCTGCCAAGCCAGAAAGCACCCTGCTGCTTACTGAAGCGGGAGGTTGTGTGCTGCTGTAATGCCTTGGTGTATCCTCATTTCTTAGTCAGTTTAAGACTATAAGTGAATTAAATGTACAAATCCTGTAGTGTCCTTTTTATCTGTATCTTTTTATAAGAATATACTGTAATACTAAAAAACAAAAGCAAAAAAAATTAAAGATATATTGCCCCCACTATGTCTCAGTAAATTTCTTTGTAGTTGTGTTTTCTGTGCATTTTGCTGGAGAGTCTTAAAGGTGAGTTGTAATCTGGGTGCACTTTTATGCTAAGCTCTGGGTCTTTGGTCAAGAGCCTGCAGCTCTGTAGGTGATACGGTCACTGCAGAGGTGGTGAGAAACTTCACAGGCTGTTCTGGGGGAATAAGCAACATGGTGGAACAGAAGCACGTCCTCCTGGTGCCTTGCAATGGCAAAGAGCTAATCATGGAGCCACCAGGTTACTTGTATCCAAGGGTCCCCTTAAAAAGAGCATGAGTAAAGCATTCTTTCATTGCTATTTCAGAACAACAAAGGGAACATAGGAGTTCACTTAAAGAAAAAAAATAATTAAGACATTCCTACTATCTAAGAGTTCATAATGCATGCCTGGAGATGACTAGTCCAAGAGGGGAAGGGAGTGCAGGGCTGCAGTGCTGTCCTAAGCTCACTTTCTTAATGAGCAACATCCTGACAGCAAGAGTGTGACTCAGAGGAGGAGGAGGGGGCAGGAGAATTGCTTCAAAGGAAGGAGTTAAATAAGGCCAGCTGAAAAGAAGCCAGGAAAGCCAACATCAGGAGTGAAGCCTTCAGGGGTGTGGGAGGGGAGATGTGAGAGAAGTTAGACACAGAACAGCAGGGTGAGCAGGAGACACACAGGGGTTAGGGCTAATTTGTGGCTGAACTGAGGGATGTGCTGAGGAATTCTTTGGAGCTCAGGGGCAGAACCTTGTTTTCATCTTAGATGCAATGTGTGCAGATGTTTCATTTACACATGGATCCCCCTGTCTCTGTTCACGGAAATAGCCTGCTGACAAAATTCATCCTTAAGCCACAACTTTTCATGTTTATCTTCAGCCCATCAAAGGGCAATGTTTGAACCGTGAGCTCCTGAGAAGCTCATGCCCGGCTTCGAGTGGGAGCCTTGCTGGCTGTGCAGCACATTCCTGCAGTACGTGGGTTCCCAGGAACCCCAAACAAAGCCCCAGCTGTTGATTCTGGCTCTCAGGTGGGGAAGGGCAGTGGAAACGAGTAAAAGTAATCAGTGGATAATTGCTTGCACAGGCTGAGGACCAACAGGCAGCAGATGGGAGTATTAGTGCAGTGTGGGAAGGTTCTTGGCTTATATTTGTTAAAAAGTCTCTCAGTTTCTCTATTTTGATCTATTTGGTTTAGGCTTTGCTAAAAGTTTGGCTGTGAGGTTCTTCCTTTACAGATGCAAGGGTAGAGGCAAAGGGATGTTTCTGAAATCCATGCATTGCATGAATGGCAGAGGCAGGATGAAAATGTGGGCACCTCCCTGCCTTCTCTTTTTCTCTTCTCTAGCAGCTGGGTTTTAGTAGAGGAGGCCAAGCTTTTGCATTTCCTATTGTTAGAGGCGAAACCCAGTGGCATTTGACTTCTGTTTGCTTTGACCAGCCAGAGAGGTGTCCCTCCTGTATTCTAACAAGAAGATTTTTCTTTCTTTAATATTTTCACTGGGGTTGGAGCACGCAGCGAGGGGCTGCTGTTCTGCCCTGCAGGACAGATCCAGCACAGAAGTCTCCTTCTGTCTTCCTCTTTGGCATCTTCCTGGTGGTCATGGACCTCCCTGCCATTGTCATCGCTGCACAGGAGCAAGGTAAGTGACTCGTGGCTTTCTCTAGGCAAAACTAGTGTTGGGGTTTACCTGCTCTAAATGACTGGGAGCGAGGAGGGGGGTAAGGGGAGCTCTTAGCTCTTGCTGGGAAGGGCTGGGCATGTATTATTCATTGGTTTTCCCTTTTTCTTTAACCTTTGGCTTCTGTTAAAACAAAGATGACTTTTATCTCTGCCATAGCAGACATGGAGCTTTCTGGAAGAAATCTGCTTGGCCCTTTGGGAACAGATTTCTACTGCTAGGAAACAAAATAATTAAAGACTTCTTTTTTTTTTTTTTTTTCCTCAAAGCCCAAAACTTTGGTTTTCAACATTGTTGTGCTAGATTCTGTTTATTTGTTTGATGTTTCTGTAGCTAATGGGCTTCTTGATGTTTTGTCTGAGACATAGTTGCTGTTTATCTCTACTTTGGTCAGTCTCAGCACAGATTGCTTAGGGAAAAGGAGAGTGATGCTGCTTATGGAGTCATGTAACTCTGCTAAAGTGTTTCTTTTTATGCTTTTTTTTTTTTTTTTTTTTTTGAGATCTGCTGGTCTGTATGAACACCAGCCTGGCAGACTGAATTTTCGTATAAGATAGTGATGTAAAGTTACATTAAGAAAGCAAAATGCCTTGCTCGTATGTGCCTTTATTCCTCCTCTGCGTCATTCCCTCATCAACCAGGGTAGGACATCAGTTTGGGGTACTTGGTTTTAATTTTTTTGTTTGTTTCCTGGCAAGGTATGTTTTTACTGTTGCTATAAAAAAACCTCAAAACCAAAATAAAGTGTCTTTGAAAAGAAATGCAATTAAGATACTTCCAAAGGGTTAACCTTTGCATTTTAAGGACGAGTATTTTTTCTCTTCTCCCAAAGCTGAGCTCCCCTCTTCCCTTCTATGCTTAATTAACAAGGAGGAGTTGTCTGGCTAAAAAAACCTTTCCAGTCATGATCAAAGCATGAAAAATGACACAAATGAATTGAGGAGTTCCAGCTTATTCACTGCCTGTGGGCTGGAGGCTGGCTGGGGGTTGAGACGGGGACCTCTGGGCTGCTGATGGAAGCTGCAGGCACCTCCCAGTGCGTGGGCTGAGGAAACAAGTTGTGGTGTGGGAAGGTTCCTGGGGTTTCCCACTGCATGTGGTTATTTGGGGTGAGGAAAGGGGTGCCAGGCATCCCCTAGCAGCTGGCCTGCCCAGGGGAATGAGGCACCTCAAGGGCCAGTCTCATCCCCAGCCTCTGCAGCCCCTCCTTCAGGTGACCTGTTGCCAGCTCTGGTGACCAGGACTATTGTATGTCTCTGCAGGGCTGGACCTTAGAAGATGCTTGGCTAAATAAGATGCTAAACAAGATGCTTGGTTGCTGGTGTAGGCCCTTGCTTGTATGCCCCACATACTAGTCTCTTAGAGATACCATGTCAGGTAGCTACTCATATCTGTAGATACTTTTTTCTTTTTTCTTTCTTTTGAAACGGTGGAATTTAAAATGAGCAATTAATTGTGCTGCTGCCTTTCTCCCTCCAAGCCAACATTTCTCCCCAACTGGTCTTGGAGAATCTTTGTGTGAGTTGGGGGGTTTGCAGTGAGCTGGAAACTTACCTTGAGAGAGCTGCGTCTTTCCCACTGTGACAGCATTGAACGCTAGGGATCCGGAGGTCTCCCTTCATGGAGATAGAATGGAAATGGCTCTTCAGAGCAGTTCCAGTAGTGGCTGAGGCAACTGCTAAGCAGGGAAAGCACAAGAAGCGCAGAGGCTGCAGGGATCCGGGATCACATCAGCCCTGGACACCCTTTCCCATGGGGCAGGCAGGGAGGTGACTGTGTTGGGAATTATGTGATGTTGCTGCCTGTCCCTGTGGAGAGGAGGGCTCCCTTCTCTCTGTGTTCCTAGAGGAGGTTTTAAAATATTCTGGGGGCGGGGGGAAGGCGGGGAGACGATGACAGACAGATGGGACAAACTGATGAAACTGTGATTGTTAGGTTTCTTAAGATAATAGGGTCTTGTGTCTGAGGGACCTGGGAAATAGGGATCCTCACTACTTGTCTGTAAGTAAGTAAAGGAACTGGCTTGCCAGTGGGTCTGCAGGGGCAAAGCTTTCGTTTTATCATCCTCTAAAATATCAGGATTGTAAGAGTTGGCTTGGATGCCCCATGAGAGGTTACCTGAGTAATTGTCTGTGGTGAACTTGTAGCTCATGCTCTGGTTATCATACTCTGACAGTGTTTTGAAATTTGTCGTTCCTGGAAAGCCACTGATCTGTGAAGGTGGTCTGTGGACAGTGGCTGAGGAAGGAGAAAAAAAAGATCAAAAGCTTTTGCACACTCCATCACTCACACAAGTAAGCAAACAAAATGAATGTCCATCTGCTTAAACCTTAAGCTATTTTTCATTTGGTTATGGCATTGTGGCAATACTGTGAAAGAACAAGGACAGATTTCCCTCCAAGAAGGTTCAGTGGTCACTAGATTCAAGAGATAAGAAATGGGGCTCTAAAGTATCTCTTTGCCACTGCATGTTCCAGTGACTGTGAGCAGGCTTGGTGCCTCGCTGGCTGCTCTTTGTGTGCAGTGGCCTTTGGGTGTGATGGGAACTGTCATCTTAGCCCCTGCAGAGTCACAAGGTGTTTTCAGGGGGGAAATAGGAACCAGCCTGGTGCTTGCCCACCCCTGGGCTCACAGTAAGGTATTATAACTGGGCAAGAGTTTCCTTGGGTAACACAGACCATGTTTGTGTCCCCAGGCAAATCTGGATCTGCTCTTACTTTGTAGAAGGAGATGGTTAGCTCCCAAAGGCAGATTTTTCCCAGGTCTTCCTTTCTTTTGGGCTCCCAAGCAGGAAAATAACTCTTCAGAACTCTGTTCTGCTGTAAACTACCCCTTGCCCCTTGCTTCTGCTCCTATTTCCCTTCAACATCTGAGCCCTGTTCACCTCCCTCTAGTGCCCTCACAGGTCCTTTCTGCTGCCATGACCCTTTGCTTACCCACCTTGGGAGGATCTGCTGCCCTTTCTCCATGGCAGTATTAGCTGCTGAAGCTCAAGCACCTTGGGTTCCAGGTGAAGCCTCTTGCAGAGGATTTTCCCTGGTACAAAGGCTCTGGCTCTGCATTCAGTCCAGCTTCACAGGCAGGTGCTGCTCTAATGGGGCAGGAGTTGGCAGGCAGGTCAGATGGCACTTCCTACCTTCCCATTGTACTCCTCATGTGATCTGCTGCTGATCGTCCCGGGAACAAATGTTAAATATGTAGTTTTGCCCTTTTAGAATGGCAGTAACATCTTCCCTTGCTCTGGTCCTAGAAATGACAGCTTCTCCCCAAGTAAAGAGGAGGCCCTTTCCGCAGCTGGAGCTGCCTCTGGAGTCACAGG